TAGGGGGGAAAAGATCAGAAACAAAGGTGGCACATGTCATGCAGCAGTACATAGGCACTGCACAGCATTTTTATATTGTAACATTTATGGGAAGTTAGAGTGCTGTAAAGGCCAGGGAGGGAGGGAGGGAGGAGGCAGAAGATGAAAGGGTGTTTACAGCAGCCATTAGCAAATGACTGTCTGCTGCTACTGGGCTTGGACAATATTTGTCAGCTAAACCTTGCTGCTGGAGGATTTAGAACCCTGGCCTGCCCTTGTGAAGGTGCATTGGTATTTTACAATCTGTGTGTGCTCTGTTCCCTTGTGTCTCATGTATGCTTCTAGTCACCTATGGTCTCTTCCCATACCGTAGATGGTAGTCAGCCTTGGTATTTAGTTGTCCTCATCACCCTGTGTTTCTGATTTGTGTACCTGTCTAGCTTAGTGTGTTTTCACTTGTTTTTGTGTTATCTCTGTAATCACATTTACTATAACTGTTACACACTTAAAGTTTAAGTACAAATGTGCTGACAATAAAACAATCTTAATTTGGTAAGCACAAGCAAGGATTTCCCTATTCTCTAAGTCAGGGATCTGAAACTCTATTCACTCGGGGGCCACTGGACAAATTTTCTTCTTCCATGGGGGCCGCTTGCCAAATTTCATACTTCAATATTGTGTTTACTTAAAAATGTGCGTTTTCCTGCAGCAGGAATTCCTGGCATCTACAAGCAGTAGCTGCCACCCATTCAAGTTAATGATCAGGTGACAGCCGTTGCATGTATACGTCTGCACACCGCATGTAATGATATGTGATATGATTACTTGCAGTTAGAAAACAGTCACTCTCCCTGGATGCATTGATTGTGCATCCAGGGAGAGTGATTGATTCCTATCCACATGTAATTATATCACATACCATTACATGCGGTGTTCCAGCATTTACACGCAGCTGCTGTCACCTGGTTCAGACCTTATCAATCCTTCCTTTCGGCCAGAACTCAGAACTTTCAGAGCTCCGGCCTAAAGAAATTACTGAGTGCTGGAGCTGACAGGAGCAGCTATGCGGTCTGCATCTGACAGAGATGCAGACCGTGTAGCTGTTACCACAAGTCAGGTACGGCGTACCTAACTTGACAACTGCCTGCGTGCCAAATGGTAGCGGTTTACACATGGCTGCCTATAGATTTACATTGGACACCTGATTGGGTTCACTGAAAAACTGACAAACGGACCCGATCGGACTGGGGCTAATCCTGTGACTATAAGGCCACTAACCTTACTGTCACAGGATCAGCCCCACTGTTGTTATAAATAAAACATTGTTGGAGACAACTGAGAGAAAATCTGTGGTAATAGTTCACAGTTCTAGAACAGTTTAAAAAAAATCATACCTCACTGCTAATTTTTAGAAAATCATAGTTCAAGATGCCGTGCTACTCCTGGTCAGTCTGCAAACATTCGCCCAATGGGTGCCAGCCCAGCTTATTTCTGATTGTAATAGTGGAAATAAAGGATGGCGGCACTCCAAAAATAAGTTGTGGCTTCTGTTTATTACAGTCAGTAAAGCATTCCTGGGATACTTTATTGACTATAATAAATAGAAGCCACAACTTTTGAAGTGCCGCTATCCTTGGTTTCCACTATATTTAGAAAATCATACCTGATTTTGAAAAGCACATTTTATTGGGAGTGAACTACTAAAAGATTTTTGTAGCAGGTATATGCTATGTTATGAATGTTGTTAACAAAAGTGGTGCTGCACATTAATTGGTGGTGCTACGCATTATATACACTGGTCACAATTAGTGATAGGCCGAACACCCCCGTGTTCGGTTCAAATTCGAACATAGAACATAGAAAAAGTTTGAATTCGAACTCAATGCAACACTATGGGGCTAGAACTTTGAAAATCAATTGTCCCAATTTTGAAGGCTTTTATGCAATTTATTGGCCATAAAATGTGTATGGGGATTCGGGTACTGCTCTGGGGAACATCTATATTTTTTTTTAAATACCGTTTTCAAAGGAGCAGTGATTTTAATTCCTTTAAATATCATGCCTGGGGGGGTCCCCTTAAACTGCCTGTAAAGTGTTGCATCTGTACAATATATAGTACCTGCTGCAGCAAAAATTACATTTAAAAAGAAAAAAAAAAGCATGTGGTTCGTAAAGAAATAAGAATATGGAAGAGTTTGAAGTGCTCATCCCTTCAAGTGACCAGCAGGGTTAATATACCTTGTAATATACCTGTGTCTGGTCTCGTGAAGAAAACTGAGATGTGTCTGGTGGCAGTATCAAAATCTGAGCCATATTCAGTAAAGCCACGCTGGTAACACCGTCTTCACCAAAGCTGCTTTTTTTTTTCATCAGGACAATCCAGTAACAAATTGTATTGTAGTCTGTTTTTCATGTGTTGTGCTCATATGTATAAAAACAAAAAAGGAAAATTTAGGATTTAAAATAACTATAATGTCTGTACTGTATTCTTTTGTGTAGAGGAAAAGTTTAGCTAATAATGGTATATGTCTTTATACACTAACAAAGGTTTATAGCAAATTAAGCCGACACTAATGTTGAGTGCATGTGTAGGTCACTAATGTGTGCATGTACAAAGTACCAAAACACATGTGTTTTTTGTTTGTTATTGTTGGTGTATGTGTATTTATATAATTAGGTATGGACTACAGGGTCAGCTTTATCTTCTTAGGAAGACAACCACTAGCATAGCATTGCTAAGATCCTTTCCATCATCTGATTAGCTGATGAGTAAGCTTAATAAAGGCCTAATTTTACAACTTTGTGGTTCCTTGACATTAGTTCACAACTTGCAAGTACTTTTTTTAATATTGTATAATGGTAAAGTGGACATAATGCATTGAGGTTGTAGTATGATATGCATTTAAATTGGCATCATTTTTAATTCTGGAAGTCCGAATGTCATGTTTCGTTTTATTTGTTGTCTGTGTTTGGTTTTATTACTTATATCCTTTCCCTACTGCAATTTCTGTCTTTAAGGTAATAGATGAACATATAGACTACATGCTGTCAAATGAAAGCCAAGCAATGAACTACAGCTTACTAAGTAATGATAATGCCTTCATGAACTATTACCCTCACTACTTTACTCAGAGGACACTGACAGCAAGATTCCAGATGAACAACACTAAGCCCCCACATGTCCAGATGGTGAGGAAACCGGTGCTAACTGTAATGGGCTTGCTGGCATTATTAGGTACATGTTTGTGTTTTATAACTTCTTCTACAACAAAAGATGCCAATTTACAAAGCTGTGTTAAATGTCACATTTAAACTTCAAAAATAAAAGTATACATTTTTGTTGTATTAGACCACAATTGTATTGTTGATCTGTGTATCTAAAAAAAAACAATTGAAATTTTTTACATACATGTAAAACCAATGACATTTCTAAAATTCCATAGCCCACTGTGCAATTGGTTTTTTTTTTCCAGGGATATTTCATATGTTGACCAAAATGATGGTGTTTCATTTCTATATCCCCAAATAAGAGATAAATAATATAATCTTTACAGCTAGTCTGCACAGCATTACATTTATCAAAGGGGTACATTTATAAAGCAGTAACGTACACCAAACATTCACTGCAGGTGAATCCTCCTGGTCAATGTGTTTTAATATACATTGACTGATTCACCATCAGTGAATGTCATATTCACTACTTTTAAATATGCCCCTTAAGTTTTAATAAATTCTACTTTTGATTAATTTCTTCCTGCAGAGGAAAGATTTGCTTTAACCTTCTTCCTCTCCAGACAGCGCAGTAACCTTTCTGTGTCGCTCATTCAGCTGTTGGGGGATAAGACAATACCCGTTGCTTTCAGGTGTGGAGGAGCATGTAAATCACTACATGTGACAGCGCTAGGCCACGCATCAGCACTGTCACATGTGACCTGTGTAGTCTATGACTGAGCCACTCATAGACTGCACATGGTGATGTCTCCTGCTCCTGGCAGCTGAACAGAGTGGCAAGGAAGTGATAGAAAGGTGACTATATGCTGCTTGGGAGTTGGAGTTAAAGTGAATCTGTTGCTTTATCCTGCATTGAAAAATCACTTGTTCACTTTAAGATTTAAGTTTATTCAAACCCCAAACCTGTCCCTTATGGGGTTATTTTTACCAAGAGTGTTGGAGACCCTTGTAATACAGCCTCCTTGTTCATTTTCTAACCTCCTCATCATGACTTTTGCACCTTCCTATTGGAAATGATATGGTCTGCCTCACTGGCCATTGGCCAATAGGAAGGTGCATGGGGCAGGTGCCAGAGCCCCACCATAGAAACTCTGATTGATATTTGGGTTTGGATATGCTTGGATATACTAAAGATAATATGAGGATGTAAGTAGGCACCTGGAGTGACACCTGCTATACGGTTGGCCTTTGTTTAGCTGCTTTAGGTAGACTGCAAGGTTGCTGAGCACAAAAACAAAACAGTTATGCAGTACGTATGTTAAATGTTAATTTCTTAAGTTAAATTCATGCTGTGCTATGTGTATTTACTTGTGTGTATGTGTATATATATATATATATATATAATAACTCACTAAAAATCTTTACTGCTTAGCACATCAGCTAAAATTCCAAATCATACGACATTGATAAACTGGTAAATCAGGGGCATAGAAAATTGTAATCACAAAACTTGCTTAAAGAATTAGAAATCCTTTGGCAGGTAAAACAGTCAACACATTTTTATTTCAGCATAATATGTCATTATTTTTTCACTGCATCCCTATGTAAGCATTTTAATGCCAAAATATTTTTTTTTTTTTAAAGATTGTTATTATTCTTAAATGCAATACAAAAACACATTTTTGTACAGCATTTTAAGCATTTACAGCCTTGGAAAATTGCTTATTTTATACATAATCATTGTAATTAGGTGTTTAATTTCCTTTTTCATGTGCTATGATCTGACTGCTGAACTTTGGATACTTTCAGAAAATAGTAATATTGAAAGTATAACTTGAGTAAATGTCTAATTAATACAAAGTATGCCTTTCTTGAAGGAGTAATCAGCCATAAAATTAGGCATCAAAGAATGTGTGACCGGAAAATTTACCCTGCTGATTATGGAATAAGCAATAGGTTGTTTTGTGGTCCTTGATATTATACTAGAGCGAGGATCCATTATTGTACTGTCAATAAGCTAATATTTATTTGCCTAGCACACTCAGACTGTTGATCCAGCAGTTGCTGCAGTAATTAATCTGCTTAATAAATACCTCAAATTTTTTTTTTTTTTAAACTTTTTTGCTTTTTTTTACCTATTCATGTTTTTTTTACAGGTGAAGTACATATTTCTGCACAAATATATCTTGATAGTGATATGTCCATCAACAACAGTATCATTGGAGTCATAGCAAGCACACACAATCCTGAAAGAGGCATTCAGTCTGACAGTTGGCAGTCAACCATACTCCTTTACGCATCTGATGATAACAAAACATCTACAGATATACAGTTTTTAACATTAAATTTTACAAATTTCCCTAATTCAAAAGGTAACTTTTTTTTCGCTTGTTTTTAATCAAAACTTTGGTATTATTTGTTGCATGATACTCGATTTTCACGTTTATGCTCCATTTTGTCTGAATTTTGTGTAGGGGCCTTGCCCTATGCTGTTGTGTTCTTAATTAAATGTAATCTGTTTGCTGCTAAGTTGTAACCAGCTAAGCTGTTTAGCTTTTTCATGACTCTGCAGGTCTTCCCTAATCTTAGTGGGTTTGTTGTTTCTGTCTGTTATTGTAAAGGGAGCTTGTTCAGAGCTATGATGTGGGAAGATGATAGATATTCTGAGCACTTTGTCAAAGTGTTCTGTCTCCCTCCTGGGCATTTACCTGGAAAGTTAGGTGTATATCTGGTGGGGCCTTGCCCTCAGCTTGGGGCATGTGCCAGACCTAAGCTACCTGCTGTAATGGATATCTGTTGGTGGTTGGGCTTGAAGGATTCTTTTTGTTGAAGAGTGTCTCAGAGGAGCTCCGTGGAAACTGCCATCTGGGCATTGTAAGAAGGAATCATTGCCCAGAGATCAAGGTATCTTTGACTACTCTAAAAGGGCCAAAAAACAGATTTAGTAGAAAGAGATCTACTGCAAGTTAACCACCTCCCTACTGCCGCATTGTAAAAAAATGGGAATGTGGATGTCCATCTCTGGAAGGACGTCTATAGACATCCTTCTACAAATGGCCACTGGGCTGCTGCACCTGCTAGTCTCTGTGAAACCCTTTCAGAGCCCCCCATCTCCTAAACTACTGATCTCCAGGCTGCCTTTGTATTGCGAGCTGTATATTAACCCTCCAAATACCTTTTCATACATATCTTCACATTAACACTTTCATCTCCATGCTGCCACTGTATGTGACCTGCATATTAACCCTGGCTCTCACAGAAACAATTGCTGCCCAAACGACTGATATCCCAAGCTGGACAATGTTTATTCCCGAAGTCAAAACATGCTATAAACACACATTGTCCTGCTTGTAATATCAGTCCTTTGTGCGGCAATTGTTTCTGTGAGAACCAGTATCAAGCTGCAGCGTGCCTTTTTTTTGGCTGCACTGACAAGAAGGATGGGTTTGTGTGACCTCAAGACAAAGAATATGAGTGGTGGCTGCTTTGTGAGTTCTGTATATTAATCCGTTCACCTCCTTATCCCTCTATGTATGACCTGATGTGCTGTATCTAGTTCTAGTTAAAAAAAAAATGATATAAGATTAATGTGGGTACATTGTTACGTGAGAGAATAATTGTTAGTAAAACAGCACTGAAAATGGCCTGGTAATGAAGGGGCATATGCAGAATAGTATTCAAGTGGTTAAGAAAGACTATGACTGCTCTTACAGTTCAGCCTTGAAAGGTAAAAAGACTGAAGTGATTGGCACCCAATTTATTCTTAAACCCCCATACACCAAGGACCGGACCCTAAAACTGAAGTGTTAGCCTTCCACATGGCTTCGGGGTCATTATGCACCACCCCAAAAAGAGGAGTGCTACATTTGTATAGTTTAATATGTCTTGACAAATATTTTTACTAATCATTCAGCACAGTGGAGATTGGCAGAAGCCAGACGTCAGCGGTTGCGACATGCAATGAAAATTATTAGTGCCCCCCCTGATCTGACTGTGGTATCTTATGTGCCCCCCCTATATATTGTTCCTAGAGTCGCCACTGGCAGAAGCAGTTATTTGCAAGCAGGCCAGGAGGAAAGCAAATACTTCAGAGGAAGAACTTCCACGTATATCACAATGTTCTCAGTAAAGAACTACCGAAAGGAAGTATGTGGACAGGGTTCCCTTTTTGGAAGTGGAAACTGGTTCATGGCAGTCACAGGCAAAATCTAGCTGCTAGCCCTAGAGATGCAATTAAGTGGGGATAATGCCATAGAACAGGGATTCTGCTTCTGCTTAGAACATTGTCTGTAAAAGCTGCATCAATAGGAGTTAGTCTATAACAGCACAGTCAGAGATGCAAGATCAAGGTTATCAAAGTGATTACAAATTAATTCTGGTAATGAAGAGGTGTACACTATGGCCCCCTGATTCTACATCATGTGAACACAGTCATCCCTAGGCTTTATTTCTCACCGAGGATTATATTTACCTCTCCTCCTTCTTTTTTTTTTAGTAGTAATTCAAGAACCAGTAAGATGCTTAAATTATTGGTGTCCAATGGGAGGTAGGCATTGGTAGAACTGTCTAGTGACAGTTGGGGTCAGAGGTATATTTGGAATGTGCCACATTTATGTGCGTTTTTTCCGTTTTAAAGGTAAATTATTCTGGTGTTGTGTGCGCGTGTGTTTGTGTGTGTATGTACTGTATGTATGTATGTATGTATGTATGTATGTATGCATGTCAGGTAGATATGAAATACCATATTTGCATTTTATATTGTCATCTATTTAGCCAGCTGGTGGAGTTACTTTTCAAGTGTTTCCTCTGTCTCCTTTATTGTAAAAACCTTGTTGTGGTGGCTCAAATTGAAATTTACACACACGGTAATGATACATTGCAGTGGCTCATCCATTATCAAACGGATAAGTCCAAGGGTTTAGCCAGACAAAGCAGGCAGCTGCTGCTGAACTATCTCTTAAGCTAACCCATAGTGCTCTGAGAATTTTTAAGTATTACATGTTTACTAAAAATTGAGTATATATTGGTTTTAAAAAGGTATACGAATGTACAAAGGTCTCCTGGGCAATTAAGAACTGGTTCAGAAGTGTATTGTAGAAGGGTGTGGCAATGCCACAATGTAATTTGGCAACACTGTCACCCAGAACACTCACTTAGAGGGGCTGACAGGTTCCAGGATGTTAATACTTTTGCAGGGAAGAAACTGGCTTTTCATTTTCTTCCAGGATCTCCACACTATAGTGGGATGGAATCTCTAGTCCTGGGGCCAGGTGTTGCCAATGACCAGTCTAGGAGAATCAGGTGGTTGAGAGCAGCCTTATTTAGGAGCCTGGACCAGAGTTGGGAGTTGTGTGTGCAGGAGGCACACGGCCACAGGGAGACTCGGGTGCAAGCTGGACGCATGTGGAACAGCCGGGGGTGGCTGGGAGAGGTTGGGAAGGTCGGTGACCCAAGGGACCTGTTGGACACACTGCTGAGAGAGTCAGTGACCCACGAGGGGTGAGGAGTGTGAGTATCACACAGAGGTGTGCCGAGATGCTTGGAGCTGAGGAAAGCTACTGAGCAATACTGAGGACTGTATATGCTGAAGAAAGTTATTATGAAAAGTGCATGAAATATTTGCCTGTGTGAACAAAAGACTGTCCTTTATGTTGCTGCTGGAAGCTATCTTGTTTAACAGGGGAAGTCTACCCTGTTGATGGAAAGATAGTTTTTGTTTTTGCCCTTAATAAAACTGTGTTTTACTTGCATTTCCTGACTACAATTGAGTATATATTTGTGGGCAGGTTCATATAAATACTTTTTCGTCATGTTTATTTATTTCTTCTGTTTACCAACAGAAACAGGCTCATAACATTAGGGCCATTGAACCTGCTTTAGAATGTCCAAAAAGTGTGAATGTAGTACAGACATGTAAAATGCAAAAATATCAGAGTTTGTGAATCCTTATAAATGTGGTGTTTCTCTGGGATGACCTAGTGCATTATTTTGGTCTTTGTCCTAAGGGTGTGACCCATTGTGTTATCTCTCTTTAGAATAAAGAAAAAAAATACATGACACAAAGGAAAAATATGCACACAGACTAAACACGGTTCATCCTTAATAAACTGTACAGCGCTAAAAACCTTCCAATGATGTGCATATGCAATATAAAAAGATATATATATATATTCCCCACAAGTCCAATCCTTATTGGGGAAAATGTGAGCAAATTTTTTCAGGTGAAAAAAAGGGAAAAAGAAAAAACTTTCTCCAAGTCCAATAAAGTGCAGATGCAACAAATTAAATCTAAACTTTGAGTAACTTATTATTGTATTTGAATAAAATTCTTAATACTGCACCATGAGGGTTTCCTTTTTGCCTTTTTAATATGATGGAATATCGGTAATGGTGGAAGGAGCAAATTACGAAGGGGGAGGACGCTCCCCCTTCGCAATTTGCTTTCCTTGATTTTCCTAAAAACGCTTCCTTGGCTGTTATTAACAGTCAGAAATTCTGGTGAGTGTCCAGTCATCTGCACTTTATTGGACTTGGAGAAAGTTTTTTTCTTTTTCCCTATTTTTCCCTTGAAAAAGTCGTTCACATTTTCACCAATAAGGATTGGACTTTTGCTGTGGACTGATTGTTTGGAAATTAACGTTTGGATTTATTATCTTTACACATTTCACTGGTTCACAATAATTTATGTTTTGATTTGTTATAATAAGTGATGTTATAGTTTTACACAATATTTTATTCACTTTTGGGGAATTTTTCTAGATATATATCTTTTTATATATATTTTTTTATATTGCATATGGACATCATTGGAAGGTTTTTAGCGCTGTACAGTTTAAGGATTGATTGAGGCAATAGCCTTTATGTAGCAGCTTTTAACCTCTGTTGTTTCTTGATTGACTTCCATTAGTGCAGATTAATTGACTACCATAAACACAGTTCATGTCTATTAATCAATATATATAACAACCGTGTATATTGCACTAAGTGATTTAATGTATTTTACCATATAAACCAAATTTGCTCTTTTTCAGATCTTGTGTATGTAACATATTATATTGATAACACATTAACAAACCCATTTTCGGAATATCAAAAGGTTGGGAGTCCAGACTTTCCAACTATTAAAGAATTTAAACAAATGCATGATGCAGAGGTAAGATATTCCTGTTATTCAATGTTTGTGGCCTTATATTTACTGTGGCTGCAACCTAGAAAATGCTCTCAGATCTGTCGCGCACACACACACACACACACTTATAGATATGGTGATAGGTACATACTGTAATTAGGTCCATTGTGTTTAATAAAGTAAAGCGCAAAGCCGCGCTAAGCAACAGGTTCATGTAGCGCCCCCCCACCCCCCTTTTATACTCACATTCCTGCCACCTTGTTCACCTGTTGCAGCTATGTGAAATGCCTGGTACTTCCAGATATTAGGGAGCACATGATTGTCTTTCCTTCCATGATGCAAAACTGGTTGCCTGAGCAGACAATCACTAGACCGGAGTGCTATAACAAAAGGGAATAGAGAGAATCCTTAGCTTTGAGTAAGCTACAACAAGATCAACTTGAAGCTTACACAGGTCTGTTATTTTACTTCTACTTGAACATTCAGTTTAATGTTTGATGGTGAAATGAGCATCTGCAGTTTTTAGCTTTATTCTCACTTACAGCATGGAAGCATTGGGCAGGTTGCACTAATCTTTTCAAAAAGCTAGAAGCCACTTGTTAGTGAAAGTGATAGTTACCTTCTGTGGGCGTTATGCCGAAATGGCCTGATCTTTGCCCGTTTGTAGTATCAGGCCACTGTATCCAGGTCTCATATGTCACCCAGACACCACAATCAACTTATAGTTAAAATATAATAGTTTTCGTGGGCCGCATTTCTTTGTGTCCAGCCATACTGTTTAGGAGTCAAAGTTAATTGAAAGGAAACCTGTCCTAAGAGAAATATTAAGGCTGCCACTCTGGCCTCTCATTCTAAAAATGGCAGTTCCCTGGCCCTTGTGCTATGAACCACTGATTTACAGCAAGTATAGAGATCAGGCATTGTTGCATGCTTGTTCTGGATCAGTAAGTGGTACTGAACTAAGACACAGCTGAGAAAATAGCATTTTCAGATGGAGGCCAGCTTGGCTGTCCCTATATTGCTCAAGTCAGAAATGAATTTTTAAAGTAATTTATACAAAGCATATGTGCTTACATCTGCACTTGAATACTTATTTTACTTTAAAGGATCCAATTATGGATGGGCCGACCACATTCCCAAAAGAGGGAGATATGATTTTGAAAGTAAAACTTCCAGTTCCTTCTGTGCTTCTTATTCACATATGTGAAAAACCTAATTCTCCACCTGGAACAGTAAGTATGAAAGTTGTATATCAGCTAAACCTGAATCAAATGACAGAGATTTGTCTGACAGTGTCCATTTTGGTAATATTAACACACACATATTCATATGTACAAGCATTTATTAAAGTCTACCTCTCTAGTGGTATAATGACGTCTAGCTGGCTGCTGTTCTGGACATGTTCTTGCATACATTCTTTAGCTTTTTCGCAAATGTTTCCATTATCTACAAATCCCAGGTTGTCCTATAAAGGAGATTGCAACCATTGCATGGATGCTTATCATTTCCCTTCGTGCTGTACAACAATGACCTTACTGGCTAGTAGGACGATGTGGCCAGCATAGTAACATGCCCACCCCCTTCCTTTCCTTACACGGATTTCGTTTTTGTGCTGAATTTTCTAATTTTCCTTTCTTAAATGTAAATTGTGCATGGCATTCATATTGGAAATTAAGGTTTGCATAGTAAAACATCCCTTTACAAGATGATGATAATGGTTTCAAGCAGCCTTTGTACATCCTTTTTTTTTCTGGTATGTTAACGTACAGCACAAACCATCATAAGAGTATATAGTCAGAAGCATCTGGATAATGGTGCGGCTCACATATTATCCTGCAAAGGAAACATTTGCCGATTGAGCATAACAATAAATACTAGTTGGATTTTAAACGCTACTCTTGTTTTCTCCCAAGGTTACCCATGTTCGTATTATTCCTCTTTTTAGAGGGCAGGTATCAGTTGTTTGGAGTGATGAACAGGTATTATCCAGGTAAATATATAATTAAAACTTTCTACAGAGCTTATCTTCATCCGCATAGACACACACAGTCGCCCAAATTGTGATCATTCCAATAAAGCCTTTCTTTTTATTCTCGCAAAGTAAACATAGTTCACCTTGTAGATGATGTCCTTAGTGCCTAGGGAAGGGTTGGCTGGCGGTCCCTGTGATGGATGTGCCCGGTCTGAACCCACTGTACGTCAATCACACTTGACTATACGCAGTTCTAAACCGAATGAGCCATCACAAGGACGTGGCGATACCACTCTCAGCCTCACCTGCACAGAGATTTCCCAGCTTGCAGGAGAAAAATCTCAGGCCAGCAGACTGAGAGTGATTGTCTCTAGGGTTGGTTAACTCTGCAGTTAACCCTTTACGCACATAAATTATGGCTGCCACCACGTGTTTTAAAGGAAACATGCACTGATCTCAGCAAGTGTTGTGATGCTTCAAAAAATTTAAACAAAGCATATTATACCAGAGTGTAGAGATAAGCTTAACACTTTATAAGATTGTCTCTTGTTTCTTTAATAAAAGAAACGGTGCAGAACAAATATACCGAAAAATATATTAATAAAGAGAGACAAATATATAACAACATTAAAATAAACGGAAATGAAAGAGAATACTTAATCGTCCTGGGTTTAGAGATTCTGACAGAGTTCAATACAATGTACAAAGATGGGTCTCACTGGCTCTTCTCCAAGCAAATCTTGACCAGATTCTTCCCTGATGTTAAAGGGGAACTCTTCTTAGAGCTTTAGTGTTACCAGCTTCTTGATTTGCGAAAGTCCCTGCTGCTTGATGTTAAAACAAGAGCCCTCTTTAGCTGCCTCTGCAGCATCTTTTAGTCAGCTCTCCAGGGGGTATCACAGAGCCAGTCCATAAGGAGGGCTGGGGTGGGGGCGCAGGAGGGCTAAGCCTTTACAATGTCTTCCTCTGCTCCTCCCCAACGGTTATGTTCATTTTGATATTTGTATTTCTCTATGATGGTAAGCTATTCCTAAATAGGCTATGGATTATTGTGTTTCATTAAATTAGCTTCTAATCAAGTCTACATTTGGTAGGTATATGACCTATGGCTGGCCTAGGAGGGTTAATGTGGCTTGTCAGTACTCTGACCATCATAACCTGTCCATGATTGATTTGTACGGCTTCATGTTGATGAGACACAGCTATTTGTGCGTTTCATTTTACAATATCACTCTCCAATTCCAAGTTATGAAATTGGGTTCATAATGTAACTCAGTTTTATGGCTACGTGTGATACGTGTGGCACCTGGTCATTAAATTTACCAAGCCCTTTTGTGTTTACCTAAATCTGTCAAATACTAATTTATTGGTGATCTTTAGGGAATAGCTGAGCTAGGCAAGGCAATTACCATGGTATTAGGGTTTACAACCCCAATCATAAAGCAATCACTTAAACTGATTCACACCAGGTCCGGGGGAAACTCCAAATAAACAATCAGGTTTTAGTGTTTAACTTAAGGACCATAAAGATCACCGGCCAGATTGACAGATATGTTTTTTGGAATGTGGAATAGCTTGGCAACATTGGGGCAGCCTGAGGTTAATTGAACTGAATTGAAGGCTGCATTTTCTCAAGATGAGGGAAGAGAGGATTTTATAGTTAATACTAATATGCTCAAACCTCATTATCATCACAGCCCCTTCTTGGAGGCCCCAGGACTTAAGGCTCAGTGCTATAGATAATTCAAGCACCATGTACCAAGTACCTCATCAGATCGCTTCAGCATGTGGAATGTATTTAAGTAGGTGCAGCACGCAGGAGTAACCAAGACTAGTGTCTGTCTGGACAGCAAGTGGGTCAGGGGAGGCAGTGGCACAGTCTGTTTTCCAGGCAAGGATCAGAGCAAGTGGCAATCACTAGCATATCTGTATCTAGGCAAGGGCCAGGGTGAGAGGTAAACAGTAGCGTATCGAGGCAAAAGTCAGGGCAGGCAGCAAGCAGTAATCAGTAGTGTATAGGTTTCCAGGTAAGGGTCATGGCAGGCAGAAATTAGTATTGTATCGGTTATCCAGATACATGGTAATGGAAAGCCATTACAATCCAAGGAAGGGCACTTGGCAATGCACTAGATAAAGGAGCCAAGAAGTAAACACAATCACAAGCCCAGAGCCTTGGGCTTTTCATGTTCAGATAGGAAGCCAATCAGGGCAGAGGAGGTGGCACAGGTAGCCCAGAGCTGCTGCCTAGCAACGAGGACCCCTTCTGCCACCAGCCAATGAAAGTGGAGGGTGTGTTACGGTCAGCACAGGGCCTGTTGCCTGGCCAACACTGTTGCTCAGACTAGGGAAGAGAAAGTGTCTTGCCGCTCTGGGGAGAGCAAGAGGCAACATAGGACCGTGTCTCACACTCTTTAACAGTGCACTTTTGCATACTGTGGAAAACACCAGCATATATTTATGGTTCTCTGGAATGTTATGATGATCTCATAAAATATCTTACCTTTAGCATTTAAACATGGTGTGATTGATCTATGTGATCTACCGTATTTTGCGGTCCATAAGACGCACCGGACCATAGGACGCAGGGAGGTCCGGCGCGCCTTATGGAGCACTCGACAGACTGTAGATTCTGACACAGCTTCTATGACAGAAGCTGTGACAGAAGCTGCAGTTAGTGACCGCTGATACAGGTGGCGCTGTGATTACAGCGCCACGGTCTCAGTGATCACACAGAGCAGACGAAGAAAGTCCGTTCTTCGTCTGCTCTATGGTGATCTCGATCGTCGCCGCTGCTCGGTTTTAATACGAGTGATCTCATTAGATCACTCGTATTAAACGAGCAGTGGCTCCTATTGCTGAATACGATCGCCGCCGCCGCTGCTCAGCTTTAATACGAGTGATCTCATTAGATCACTCGTATTAAACGAGCAGTGGCTCCTACTACTCGCCCGGCGCCCGAAACTGCATGTCTCGGGCGTCGGGATTCGCTCCATAAGATGCAGGCACATTTTCCCCCTCCTTTTGGGGGGAAAAAAGTGTGTCTTATGGAGCGAAAAATACGGTATGTGATTGAAAAAGCAAACCTGTACTGAAATCTGATTTTTAGTAAATGGAAGGGATCTGCAAGTACTTGCAATTAGCTATGTTCTAAAGCATCGGGAGTGCAGATGCTTGCTCCAGCTAGAAAGTTGGGGCTTTTACCCCTCTTCCAGCTATGGCATTTCACTCTAAGCCCATTATTGTGATGGATTACCTCAATGACTATAGTGAGTCACAGGAGGTGATGGGTTAAAATGCCAGCTTTATACCTTAGGTTTTGCATGCAAACAAAGCTTTAAGTAAACACCTAAATGAACAATTGAAATAAATATATATATTTACTGCTTGACATGAGCAAAAATTGTAACTCTGTAGGGCCAGTCCAGTTATTTACACACATTTTCCAAAGTGCACCACCAGACAGAAGACACACATACTTTTTGATTTAGCAGGTAAGTTTTCTGGTTCACCAAAGCATCTTCTAATGCACCTCTTTATCTCCAACCTCTTCATTGGATAGTCAGCATCATCACTTCTTGCTGATTAGATGTGTAAGGTGTGTATGATAGAAATGGCCTGGCAAACTCTTATGGCAGGTAAAACAGTAAACGTGTATTTCAATTGTATATATTGCTGTCCCCATTTATTCCCTTACACATACTGCATCCTTAACTTTAAAGCAGAACTAAGAGGTGAGTGATTTTCACTCAACCTCATAGTTCGAGCCGACCTGTGACAATGAAACGGTCACAGATCGGCTCTATAGATCGGGAAGTGAGCGAACACATACCGTCGCTCGCTCACTTCCCAATCATCTCCCTGCAGAGAGCGGTGACTCAGTTACCACTCCCCGCTCCGATCCTCCAGCGCTGACTGGAGGAATGGATGGGGGAGGGGGGGCGGGCACAGCTGGCTCTGCCTCCTAGATAGGCAGAGTCAGATGTCACTCACGCAGCTGGGTGGATCTCGACAGCATTTTCGGGATCCATCCCAGCTGTGACGCTCTCAGTATATTGCAGGCAATAGCTGCTATATACTGAGCTTTGGGTCACGGGAGGATGCTAGTATATGTCCTCCCGTGCCCCTAAAGAGAACTATGGGATAAAACGGTTACCCCATAGTTCTCTTTTAAGGTTGATTTTAATTACCCTACAAGCAATGTATTTTTACACATGCTTTTCTCTAACTTGTACTCCTCTGATGATATATTTACTAATATTTTAATATTTCTTGTGTGTTTTGTGTGAAAAGTGCAAGATATTGTAGTGGTAATACAATATTTCATGTTTTGTAGATGTTTGAAAACATATGAAGTGGAATTTTCATTTGATGGGGTAACCTTTAGCCAGATAAATACAAGACAAATTATTTTCACTTTGTTTACATATAGCCCAGGTAAGTTGTATATTAATTTATAAATACTATTTCCTGATTTTAAGGCTTACTGCTGCTTCTAAATAGATTTCTTTGGACTGCCTTTATATTGATGTAGATAAGCTGTTTACTACATTTTCTATTATTAAAGAGGAACTTTACCCATATCTTTAAAATAACAAGAAAGACACTATTAGAAATGTTTAGTAATGTCAATCTACAAACAGATACTTCTAGATAATTGCCAGTGTTTTATACTTTGCATACCTTATTTTTTTTTCCTCCCTATACATCTCATGGTGGGCATTTTTACTAAGGGCAGATTAATCCATCTCCCTTTACTTTCTGCAACTCTGCCACATGTGACTAGGACATGTGACCATGCACATCATCTCAAGGGAGGAAAATGCCTTTCCCTGGGATCTCATGAGATTACAGATGATATTTCTCAGCAATGTTCTGCTGATGTAACCTTCCCAGGATGCAATGCTTGGGCACATTACATCACTGTTGCCAAAGAGAACCAGGATGTAGAAAACAAGAAATTGTAAGTAAATTGAAAATATGTCTGTTTAGCTAATGAATGTAAAATGATTTCATACCAGAATGCCGAGCTACATGCTGAGATGATTTTTAGTCAGAGGGGTAAAGGCCCATTTTAAAGGCCCATAGAAATCGTGGTAAGATCACTCATATGAAGAGAGACCCATGAACTCCCAATCCAAAACCATGCATTCTTATGCTTTGATATTGGGTTTAAAGACTGTCAGTACTAAAGCTGGCAAAATATATTAGAGAAAGGCTGGATGTGCATGTATGATCTGACCATTTTAGCATGCCTTATGAGCTGAGTTACTCCCATGAGAGCTCCATTTTGGGATAATGGAGGATGGAAAGGAGACATGTGCAGACAGTTTTGGTGTTGGGGAAAATAGTAAGATTGGACAATGTCTAATCTACCTATCTGTTTTGTTCCCTGAGAACACTTGTATGGGCATGTTGTGTACTGCCTTATGAATTCTAGTTCTTCTCCTAGTCCGCTTAATAATGGCATGGAGAGAATATCAACTAATATATGTATAGGCACCTGTACTCTTTTTCAGTTTGTAATGGTTGTACTTAAAAAAGCTGCTCATCATTATCAATCCCCAGCACTACTTACAGTGCTCCAGGCATGGGGAAAAAGACCTGAAAGAGTGTGCTTAAAAGAATACTGTATTAATTAGTTTACAGTCTTATCAGGGACCTGAATATCTGTTGGATAAATAACCAGGTGTCCGTATTCACCAGATGAAGGAAGGCAAGGATAAAATACAATATGCCATCACTATGAGGTGATGCGGTTCAAAAGAAGTTATTTTTTCGTTCAAAGGGTTTTTATTTCTTTTCTTGCAATCAGATAGACAAGTGTATTAACGCATACATCAGGTAACAATTACCAAGTAGAGTGGAAGGAATATGCAAAACAAAGTAATATTATAAACATGTAGTTAGTCTAAGAGAAGTCCTAAGAAGCTTCAAGATCCCAATGTGCATTGCATCAACATTTTAACTTGGACTTCGAGTCAAGGTTACAGAGAGGGGGCCCGGGTTACCTGGTTCTCAGGGTGGGAAGACATTATAGAGAGGGAGAGAAAGGAGAAGTCAGTGGGGAGAGGAGAGGGTTAAGCGAGGAAGGTGAAATAGAAGGGGGGGAGTGGGTAGAGAGCAGAGCTTATGAGTAGAGGAGTGGAGATAGCTGGTCATCAACTCCGGCTACGGGTCCTCATATTGTCAAGGAATCCACATTGAAAGAGGGAGGAAGGTACGACTCAATCCATGGTTCCCACAGCTTCCTGAACGGCACCAAGGCGTCCCTTTTGGATAGCAGTGAGCTTCTCAAAGAACATCACGCGCGCTACTCTGCGTTTGACTTCAGCAAAGGGAAGGTCAGGGGACTTCAAAGCTTTCAACCCTCTTGGCCTCTGTGAGAATGAAGGTGATCAATCAGTGTTGACGTATCATTCACACCAATGCTTTTTTTATGTAGCAGAGCTTCCAACAGGTCCTTGCGAAATGTCTTGCCGGTAACAGTATATAACAATTGGTAGACTCTATGCCAAAATCTCTTTAACTTTAGGCAGGACCACCAAATGTGAAGGACCGAGCCCTCCACCCGGCAACCCTTAAAACAGTGTAGGGAGTGTGATGGGATAGCTTTGGAGATCCGGAGTGGGACCAATACCACCTAGGGAGCAATTTGTAGTTGGCTTCTATTGCTTGGACATTCGTTGAGCTTCGAGAGGTCGTCACCCATATTTGGGTCCAGGTGTCAGGGGTAATGGAGCATCCCAGGTCCTGTTCCCACCTGGAAGCGTAGGGAGGAGGGGAGACATGCAATTTATCCAACAAAAGGCTGTAGATATGGTCCCCGAACCGCGTATCCCGTAATGTAATAGTCTCTCAAAGGGGGTGATCGGGGGGATGGGGTGTAAAGGTCCTATTTGAGTCAGCAAGAAATGTTTTATCTGTAGGAATTGGAAGACATGCCTAGAGGTTAGATGGTGTTTAGTTTGCAGCGTAAGGAACGGTACAATACCCGTTTCAGAGCAGAAGTCTTTGATCAAACTCAGAGAGCCACGATTTAAAGGCGGCGTGGTTGGAATATCCCGATTGGAACAGCGGGTTGGCATGGATAGACATGTGTGGGGGGACATAGTGTGGGGGGGCATCCATCCCATAGAGTGGCGGAGGCCATCCCAGATTTTCAGGGTATGTTGAAGAACAGGACAAGGGAGGTTCCCACGTTTCCTGGGCGGTAACCAAGGGAGGTTGAGGAGTGATGTTGGAGAGCATGAGTAGGCTTCAAAGGAGACCCATAGAGGCATTTCTGACTTCCCAAACCAGAGAACCAGAGGAGCCAACTGAGCCACCTGATAATATTTCTGGAAAAAGGGAAGTCCCAAACCCCCTTCTAGTTTGTTACGGTAGAGGACTAAGTGGGACACTCTCGGAATGGAGCCCTTCGAAATGAAATGTAAGATGCAGCGTTGGAATAGCCGGAGCCGAAAGGTGGGGACCAAGACGGGAAGGACCCGTGCATGATATAAGAATTTGGGGAGTAAGGTCATTTGAACGGCCATAACCCTCCCAAGCCATGATAGGGAATGTTTCTCCCAAGAAGATAGTAGGGATTCCATATGGGAAAATAGTTTTGGGTAATTCGCATTGTACAATTGGTCATAGGAGGGGGTGAGGTGTATCCCCAAATGGGGCAGCACAGTGGCTACCGACATGTATGGGTATGATTGTTGCAGCGAGGAACACAGGGAGGGGGGTAGGGTTACAGTAAGTGCTTTGGATTTTTGCAAGTTAGCGAAAAGGCCTGAAAGGGTACCAAATTGTTGTAGTATGGGTTGAAGGTTCGAGAGGGAGAGCAACGGATCAGTAAGGATCAGAAGTGTGTCATCCGCAAACAGACTAAGTTTGTGGTGGTAGCCTGCTACTTCTATACCCTTAATATCCACATGCTGTCGTATTGCTTGAGCAAGGGGCTCTATGGCTAGTGCAAATAGAAGGGGAGAGAGTGGGCAGCCCTGTCTGGTTTCTCTAGATATATCAAACCTTTGGGAGTGGAAGCCCTGGTATTGGACATATGCCGTGGGCTCAGAGTATAAAGAGTCAATTAGGCGCATGAATGAGGGCCCAAACCCCCATTTAGTTAAGGTATAACGCAAATAGTCCCACCCAACCGAGTCAAAAGAAGTTATTTTTATTTAAATTGGTTATATAATCTACAATGGCTGTTTAACTATCCATAATGTAGAGAACCATTGTTTATTTTATGGTTAACACGCAAGTAATAAAATGGTTATTTCAAAGAATGGCAAATATCCTTCTTCTCTCTCTAGACACTGCCATAGTATCTGGATACTACAGAGTCCGTGCTGTCAACTTCTGGAACATACCAGGACCCTACAGTGTTCCAGTGATGTACTGAGAATTATTTTGGAAGCATCCATAATCATGGGGCCTGTTCATTTAAGTATTCATACATACATATTCATTTGGTTGCAAATATTGATCATTTTTGTGCACTGGTTAAGATTTTGTAAATTGTATTTCTTATTTTGTGTAAGTAATCACTCATTTTGTCAGACATTTTTTTAAAGAGATCCATCCATCTGTGTGCCTTTAAAGCAAACTTTTCCATTCCACAAGGCTGTAAACATAGTGGTGTCATCATAACCCTTTTCATTAGCTGTTTTAAAGACAATCCTCATTCTTTCTCTCCCCAAATGTGCAGCCTGAGCTAACTAAGTATGTTACTGATAAGCAAACTTTGACTTTTTGTGTAGCCACTCATGTATGCAGAGGGCAGTGACACCTCATTCATAAGCAGCCTCTTTGATGTGCAGGTTGTGATTGACTGCCTGGTATTTCCTTCTATAAAGTGTATTTACATTTTTGCAGCCAAATTGGGATATTACCTATATATGTTCGTTATCTGCTCTTATTCACATTGCATAACTAAAAAAAAAAAAAAAGTTTTAGTTTTTTAACATATGTAAGAGCATTTTACGTGCTTAGAAATCCTATATGCAATATTAAGGAGGGGCTGTGAAAAGTTATGTTTACTCTACTAATTAACGTTGTCTGTACTGTGCTGGCAGAATTAATTTTCAGTTATAAACTAGATTTAAACACTGTCCTAATAAAGGTTTAAAGGTGTGCAGACATTGTTTATTAATAAGAGGAAGCTCAGTCTGACCATCTAGTCTCACTTTCAAACTGCCCAGAGTAGCCTGGAATGTACACAAAGCCCTTCACCAAAGTAAAAATTAAAAGGTAAGAAATATGTTTTAACATTTATTTTTAGATATGATGTGCAAATAGGAACACATAACAAACATATAGAGGGGTTTTCTCAAATTTGGGGGAATTAACTATCTTGGGGGGACAGACTTGAACTTGAGTTTTTGTTCAGTCAATATTCATTGGTGAGTTATTTCTAAGCTGAATTGTTCATATTTGACAGCATTTTCTATAAGTGCTGGGAAATGAAACACTGCTTTAAATGTGGTTTTCATTTAATTAATTAGCACACATATCATTCAGCATATTCAAGATAGTTATATACTGCATGAATCAATTGTATCCTTCTTTTTTGAAAGAGGAAACTGTTAATTGTTTCAGTTCTTATTAGCATGCAAGTTCCAGTTCTGTTATATGATCATAAACTAAGCCTTTTTACAGTGCCTTATAATGAGAACATAGGTCTGTTAAACCATCAAATACATGGAGGATGCTATATAAGCTCTGCACATACATTCGCAAGCTGAGATTTTATCAGTAAACATGTGAAGTGTGTGGATCATGGATAGCACCACAAAACGTGTCTAGCCAATCCACTAGGAACCACCATTATTGGCGGTACCTATTTTCAGTTATACTAGTGAGTATACTGTTAGGCTAGCTTGCAGAAGTTGCACATTATATTTAGGAGCATTCTGTCCCAAATATCTCACACCAGTACTTTTGCGTATCTATGCTCATAGTACCAATAGTGGGCTGCATCATAAAATAACAAGGAAATTAAGTAATAATATAGTTTTGTGTGGACACCTGTTTCAGCTATATTTAAAATGTTTAATATTCCTCAGCATATTATTGCGGAAAGATTTCATTATGTTTTTATGGCTGTATGGATGTAAACAGTTACATAAACGCTCATATGGTTTGGAGCTGTCAAGTTCTAGAATGATGATTTGAATAACCATGTTTATGGTTTTTTATTACTAGTCCAGTACTTTTCTTACCAGACCTCAGCCTTTTTTTACCCAAGTACTGTTCACTAATAGCATTTTCTAATAACACATTTTATTTGCATACAATACATATTGGAATAAATCCATAAGAATTGTCACAATAATACAAAAATTGTTTATTCTTGTTCATACTTAATAAATTATCTATTTCAACAAAATCTGGTTGCATAATAAAACCTAAAAACAGAATGTTTAAAGGAAGCACATGACATGAACCAAAAATAATTTGTATCTAAATAACAGTTAAACACATAATTGCACTCTGAAAATAATCTTAGCGATGCAAAAAAGTTGTGCATTTCTTTAGGTAATTCTTTCAAGATGGACTGGTTCTTTCCATACCCGAGAGAAAGAAAAAGTTCTTGACAACATTAGCAGGCTCCTGGCAACAAAAACAGAAATATTATAGGATTTAATTGAAAGAAAAACATTAAAAGCAATACACTTAATCAAAATAAACAGACACATTGGCGGCATAATTGGCTAAAAGTGTACTTTTCTTGTCACTAGCAGACACTTAGGGGTACATTAAACAACATACGAGGGAGTAAGTTCTGAGCCTAAGGTATTAAAAATCAAAATTAAATTTCGATAAAAATTATTTTTCTATGTAGTCACTTTTCAATTTTTTTCTGAGCAGTAAGAAAATAAGTTTGATCTTTACTATTAAAATGCTCCTTTACCCCAGCTTTCATCTTCTCATCCTGAAAGCTTTGCCCCCTCAACTCTTTCTTCAAATTACTTAATAAGAAATAGTTTCTCTTAAGGAATACCTCGAAACCTGCGCAGTGTGAACTGGCGTGTTGTTTTGTAAAAACACTCCACAATGAGTTGCCTCACTTTTCTTAAAAGGTTCACTGTTCAATTACTCAGAGTGTAATGACGCTAATTATTTAAAACTTTCCTTATATACCTACCGGTAGGTACTCAGCTAGTAATAAACTGGACAAGCAATTATCACGATTGAAGGTACCTCAGGCTCAGAACTTTTCAGCCGCCCCTCGTGTATATGCATCTAAACATTCAGCACTTTTTCCCATTTTTTTTTTCTATCGTTTCATATACAACTGTACATACTCATCTTGTGTACATTATGCAGCATACGTACAGCAAAGTGTAGTTACCAGAGATGGATTAAGGCAGACTCGAGTGCTAATAAAGGTAACAGCTCCCCCCTTCAAATTACATTGATAAGGTTGCAATAGGCACATCAAAGCAATCCCATTTGTGCTGTATGTACTTGCATTGCCCATCAGACACCAACTGCTTACAAGTGCATTCTCAGAATGGTGTAGAGCTTTAATCAACTGCATTATCCCCCTGGTTTATTGCAGAAACGCTGTAGCTGGGCTATCTGGACATCCATAGGTTTCTGCCTCCACCTCTAGTGGTACTGTCAAATATTTTACTTTTTGAATTATTAAGTTAGGCAATACAAAGAGTAGATATGGTGTGAAAACTGAAACAACCCATAGTTACTAATCCATTTTTGCATTTTATTTGTACACGGCAATCCAGAAAATTAAAGATGACTAATTTAAAGATGACTAATTTAGGTACTATGTGTAATTGACTGTTTGTTTTTCTTCTCTATAAAAATACACTAGTATGTTACCCTTAAAATAGTGTATGTCATGTTGTTGAAAGGATGCTACCACAGGGTTGGATAGGGATGGAGCACCAAGGCTCTGACTGTGTAGCACACAATGTAAGTCACGTGCTGTTCATAAGCTGTATAATGATGAACCTATTGGTCCATTCATTTGGTGAGAGCGTATACCCACTTTGCAGCACAAATGTGAACTGGTTAGGCCTAAAGGGCTCCTTTATTCATTCACAGCATTTCCCACTGCAATGTTTTTCATCAGTATGTCTGAGATTGCAATGCAGGGCTTCCAAACTACAGATGTTGAGGTCTAAATACAGACCACAATTCAGGAGCAGACAATTAATGGAAACAAAAGACTATGGGGGTGATTTACTAACCTAAACACACACACACACCAGGTAGCTGTTTATATATATGTACAATGTGTGTGTATGTGTACACTGTGCTTATACTGTAAAAAGGCTACAGTTTCCTTTTCTACTTTAAAAGCAGCAGCACCTTTAAATTTGTAGTTGAACACCATTGCTGTACAGTTTTACAGAATATGAAATTGTTAACATACCCGATTGAAGGACAGGCTGAAATTGTCCAGCCATGCAGATTTCCTCCTGTTTTTGGCGTATAAGCCTTGTAATAGCTGGAGTAAATCCACGTGGATTGCGTGAGAATATTATGGAATAGCCATCATTACATGTTCCATCTTCATGGAGAGTACGGCAGGAATAGGTGATTGCATAGTTATCGTAGTCAGTGTCAATGACCCAGTAGTTGTCTCCTGCAGAAACACAAACATTGCTAATGAACGTCTACATATGTTGGAACGCATTTTTAAAAGCAAGTACAGAGGAATGTGGATGTGTTGCCCACACTGTTTCCAGCAGTTATTTTTCTGGTATAGGTTTAGGTCAGTAGCAAAGTCTGCCCCTAGCTGTAGTTTGGCAAATGTTTCCCATTTTAGAAAATTATTTTTACATTTATCATAAATCAACACATTCAAATAATTGTTGTAACCTTATAAAAAGATCTGTTTAATAATTAAAAAATTGTAAATACAGAATCCCACAATATATACCCCAGTGAGCCTAGCAATGTGCAAATATTAGTAGCAAGAAATGGTTGTATCACAGGTCCTCTTACATAAATACATAACGTTGTACAATATTGTATAATAACTTAGGCGAACCCAGGTAACTTCAGCTTACCTCCACTTGATAAGTAGCTAGCCAAACCTTGGTAAGTCATGTACATTTTAGCTGGTGTGGTTGTATCTGGTATCGAGTACTGTGCAGCCATATCAGCACAGATGAGCCAGAACCTGTAAAAAGATTATACCCATAATGGTAATTGTTTAATGCATTAAATAAAACAAAATGATTTAACATGCAGTTTATTTCCTAATGAGCACCACTTTATCTGCTGGTACACCTAACAGAAACTTGTACCTGATATACAGTACATAGGCTGTACACGTTGCAGCAATGATGGTACACATATATATCTGGAGAGGTTTCCTAAAAGTATTCATATTTACATGGGAATCAGGTGAAATATCCAGTTTAAAAAAATGACCATTTAAAAAAATTAAGCAATAAAGAAAAGAGTCTGACAAAGATTTTATAGTCGGTTATAAAAACGATTATAGATAGATAGATAGATAGATAGATAGATAGATAGATAGATAGATAGATAGATAGATAGATATATCTATCTATCTATCTATCTATCTATCTATAGATATATATATTCTAATAATAATTATAAAAAATAAAGCATGTGACTGTTTCAGAAGTGTTAGAACTCTGAATGGTGATAGCTTATCTTTTGCTGTGCATTCATATTTTTTTTAATCTCTCAACACATATCTGTTTTATGCAATATCTGTATTATATTTTCCATTAAATTACAAAACATCCAAATTCCTATTGTAGAATTGCTGAGGAATACATACCCAAATATTTACCCAAATCTAACATTTGAATCACACCTCAAAGTTATGTAGCAATTGGAAATGCCCACTTCTAAATTTCTTTAATTTCCCAGCTCATCTTACCCTTTACACCCATCATGAAAGTGTTCCTTTTCACTAGAGAAAAATCTATTTATTCATTCATTCAGTTTACATGATGGAAAATGTGGCTACATCAGGCAAGTGATCTCTTATCTATGGGTATCTTTAGAGTGCCATAGCCTCGCTGAAAAGATAGCTTGTGCCCATCCTCAAGCAAGTAAAGCTCTGGTGACCTGGCTGTGACATATTCTCTGACTCTCTGAGCCAATAAATCAGTGAACAAGGTTAACTATTTGCTCCTCAATAGAAAGCACAGCTATTCATGGAAAATCATTGTGTGTTATTACACATTACACTGTTCTAATTACTTATTACAGTTATTTTTCCCAACTAAGAAAGCCTTACAAGGCTCGGTTCTTTTACTCATACCTTGCTGGCAATGATTGAATCAATATGAAATTGGCAATATTTAGCCACTTTTAGGGAGTTGTTTACTAAAGTAATGTAAGTGAAATGAAGTGAAGTGAACATGTGCTCACTTTAACTTCAAATCTAGTGTAAAGATAATTAAAAAAATTAAACTTCTCCCAGACATGATTACATGTGTAAAGCAAACAAAGGTGTTCCAATGCAGCCAGTTTCTGAATGCTGGGTGACATAAACGCTGTGTTGCATTCGATTTACTTGCAGTAACATTGAATAGGTTATATATTAATGCCTTAGAACTGGTATTGTCCTTTGTCACAGATCATGTTAAAAAGTTCTGCTTTGCTTGCAAAAGGTTTTTCAAAGCTTGCTTCAAAATTGCAAACTGCTTATGAACACGATATGGCGTAGCAAACAATTTGTGCCCCCTTATATATCTCTCTGTTCCACTGTAGCTAGATTGCTGTTAAAGAAAGTCCCCTGCAAGAAACGTGATGTTTGATAAGCCGCTGAGCAAATGTAAACAACTAACAATATATTACAAGATTAACAAGCCTCCCAACCTTTGAATACACTAATACAAAAATATAATTGTACGATCAACATCCACATTTGTTGAATTGTATTATGGGATCATGTGAACTCATTGAGTGGTATCAACGAAGTTAAAGTGGAGCACCGATCAAAACCTTTCTTTTCTACTTTTAGATAGAATGGTGGAGAGTTCAAACTTTAAGGTTTTTATTATCAATAAAGTGAAAAATACATGAAGCATAGTCCATCAGGTATGAAAGAATATAAAATGCTGGTTTGGCTAGAACATAATATGTGGATACAGTTTTTGGAACAATATATCACAAACTGGCAGGGGGAGTCAACTCCATCCAGGAGAGGCAAACCTTTAATACACGAGAAAGGAAGACGAAAAAAGAATAAACACAACTGCCTCTTTCCTCCATTAAAGGTTCCCAGCTTTTGGTTAGAGTTGAGTGCTTACTCTACTTGGTGTGAGATTTCCTTCAATGTGTAAGACTTTCTTTACATTCTGTGCTGGAGACACATCAAGAAGTGGGGGGAAACCCTACCTGTTAAAGTTGTCATTGGAATACATATTCCTGTTGAAAGATTTCCCCTCTGACAACTGTAAATGTAAATATTCATTCACATGCTGACCCAGCAATTACCGGGCCAGCAGTTGGAGAGGGAATCTCTACAATAAGGTAACAGACAGCTATAAAAATCATACAGAAAGTCCAACCCTTCCCTGTTCTAACCAAAATTGGAAACAACATTTTTGCTTGGATTTTCATTATTCTAAAAACATTCTAATATATGGGCCAAATAAGTAGTATAACTTACCCAAAAAGTTTAACTCTGCCTTTGGATGATGCAGTCATTGTGCCATCCTCATCTATTGTGTATTCAGCAGAGATATTGTCTTGCAGGAACAAGCCTTCAGGGTCCTTTTTCCCAATGGCGTACCATTTTCCTGCATACTAGAAATGAATGGAAAGTGTCAATAGCCACCCCTAATATTTAGAATACATAAGTATTTCAATAAAAACAAATCATGAACTCCACCTGTTTGTTCTTCTGCTAACAACTATTTTTTTAACAAACAGAGCATTACTAAATTCACTTGGGCTGTTTTTCGAACAGTACATTGCTTTTCATTGTCTTCAATTTTGCATAACTGTATAAACCTGCCTTGGAAAAATGCCATGTTTACAATTTTGCATCCCTATAAACATAACAGAAAGGGTTGTCCTAAGCCCTCAGACAACATTGGTTGGTCTGTTTGTCACCCCTTTTTTCTGTAGCAGACTCCATCTTTCTTCAGTATTTATCATCCTACCTGTATGATTGCTCCCGCAAGTGATAGCTTACTACTATGGTTAGGTTACATAGTACAAATATTTTGCACCCTTGCAGGTCAAAGTTATCTCATTAGGGGTCAGAAAGGTATATAGATAGCACAGCTGAGAACTGAGATGTAGCAATAGATGATGTGCTTGCCTTATAAAAAATATAGAATTCCTCATAATGTATAAACATGCTGATAAATTATATGAATAACTAAAAAAAGTAAATAAAAACAATATAGTATTATAGAGTACACTGAAAAGTGCTAAGGTAAAATGCAAGGAAAACCTGCTCATGACCTTGTATAAATATGTAAAACCAGAAAAATGGGAGGAGTGAAGGGCAAAAAATGTGAAAGAGAAAGAATACAAAGTAGGGCACAATTAAACAAACGAAGGGCCAGTGTTGAGAGGCTTTTGTTTGCTTTAGAACTACTTATTTCCGAATACAAGTATATGATAAAGTAGGTCAATTGCACCTGCAATGCTTTTGAGTTCAATCAGAATTTGTCACAAGCTAAAAGTACACTGCATTTGTACAACAAAGCCTGTGGGCAGAGGCCCTAAGGTTGATCAAAGGATACCCAGCTTGGGAAAGCTGGAGTGGGGGAGCCACTCTGCTCTCAAAGTACCAGTGAACTACCCAAGATATATTATGGTTCTCCAAACTTTCTCAGGAAGAGATTGGAGAGCTATAGTATTATAGTATATTAATAATGTATATTAATCAATTAAATTAAATGAGAGAATCTGTAGACCACAAAGGCAATCCTTTTATCACTTTGCATCACATGATTTACATACAAGTGGGTGAACTGTGAGAGGTTCGCTGAACTTATGTTGCCTTCAAACAGTCACTTCTTACCTAAACCAAACTGTCGTAGTCATAAAGCTGCATTTCTGCTGCAAATATGTAAAATGTTCCATTATTATATGCGACTTTTATATAGAAACTCAAACTTTTAAGCCCCATTGAGCATAAAAGCTGACATTCTCAGCTCACAAACAGATGCATATTGTAGTATTTAACCCCTTCGTGACGGGAGACGTACACTGTACGTCCCGCCACGAAGTGCCCAAATGACTGCTCACGTACTCATAAAGTGATCAGCTATTTGGGGCTCTGTAATGCTGGTAACCGCTGAGAATCAGTGGTTACCGTTCATTAATGGATGCCTCAGTATTGAGACATCCATTAATGAAAGAGTTAAGCTTTTTCAGACACCCGATCCCTTTCAGGAATCAGGTGTCTGACAGTGAGAGCAGAGCAGCATTTACAGCTCTTGCCATCACTGACAGCTGGTATAGATCTGGAAATCCCGATGTATACGGGCTTTTCCCCCCGAAACTTTAAGCAACAGAAACGTTCACTTACATGTTTCTATTCCTGAAACAATGTTGCAGGTTTCTGATCATTCTGGGAACAATCAGAAAAGGTTTACGGGGAGGGGGGCGGGTACCGCTGGCTCAGCCTCTAGATAGGCAGAGCCAGCTGTCAGTCACGCAGCTGGGCGGATCCCGGCACAATTGTCGGGATCCGCTTCAGCTGCGGCGTCTCAGTATACCGCGAGCTACAGCTCGCGGTATACTGAGCCTAGGGTGACGGGAGAACGCTAGTTTGTGTCCTCCCGTTACCCTAAGGAGAACTATGGGGAAAAGCCTTAACCCCATAGTTCTCCTTTAAGTTTGAAGCAGCCTAATAATAACCAAAAAGTAATTACATTATCAAGCAGTAATGGTGAGATTAATTCACAATGATTGCTTGATATAATTAAATAAATTAAAAAAAATGTAAACAATTTTTTTTTTAAATAGTGAAAAGTGTAAAAAAATAAAGTTTAAAAAGAAATATAACAAATAAAAATTATATATTTAAATATATTTTTATACTATCATTAATATAAAAATTAACCCATTACAATGAAAATCTGCAGCTGAGCTGCAGATTTGTTTTATTTTTTATTTTTTTTATTTAATCCCCTTATGACAGTGATGTTCAAAGTATGTCGCTGTCACTAAGTGTGGCACTTAGTGACAGTGACAATGTATGCCAGGTGACCACTTTTAGCTTTAGCTTTTAGAGAAAAAAGATTAATGTAGCTTATTTTTGAATGACATGGCTGTAGATCCTCAAATCATCTTTGAATTTAGAAAGAAGGACAGTGTCGGCATTAATTCAGAGATGATTTGAGGCTGTACGGCCGAGTGATAGACAAATAAATTACATTTTTGTTAATAGTTAGGGTACTTAAATGCATTTTTATGAGTTAACTCCTGAGTTTAGTGTCACTTTAACTTGCAATAGCTCTACTCAAATCCCTCTTTGTCTCTTTCATTCATATCTAACAAAACCTGAGAAAAGTTTTTAGTGGACTGGCCTGTTCTGGATGATAGCACACATGCAATCTGATACCTGCATTAGCTTAGCTTAGACTTCAATGGAGAGGGGTCTCCCCCATCACTCAAACATGGAGGGCAGTGATGTACTTTTGAAATTGCTGCATGTAGTGTTTTTGGGAATACATTTCCTCATGTGCCATGGGGAGCAATCCTCATTTAAGTCTATGCTTAGTTTAGTTGTGAGTAGGCACAGTTAGCCTTTTCACTCAAAGGTGTAGAATGTCAGATTGCTAATCTGACATGGTTCTTATTTCTGTGCCAACATATATGAATAAATGTTCACATCAGGTAAATTGAAGGGCTTACATTACCAGCATATATATTACTTCTTAAATACTCCTTATATGTATTTAACACATCATCTCTTAGTGATCTTACTTTTAATTATTTTACAGGATTTATATAGCGCTAACAGTTTTAATGAAAACATCTTACCCTTTTTAATTCAAAGTCATCCTTCACTTTAAAATTATCTATCACGCAGGACTGGGCTCTACAATGCTCACAAATGGTGATAAGTACAGCAAGGAAGAAATACTTGAAACACTTCATTCTAGAAAAAAAAACCACAAGATATAGGTATATTATTTATCTAACATTACTTTATGACATTTATAACATTGTGTACACAACATTACTTTTATGATTATTTATAACATTGTGTACATAACATTGCTTTTAACATCTTGATGTAAACCTGTAACTATTGGCATTTACACTGCACACATAGGTAACATTTCATATAGGTGCTTTAACACTTTGGTGTTCCATATCTGTTAACTACTGTAGATAACCAAAATAACAGTAAAATATATAGAAAAACATCTACATTATATTCTATATGTATAGTATGTTCTTACAGCTACATGACAGCATTACAATTATTTTTATATTACACTAATGTATTGTGTTGCAGAACACAGTTCAAAAGTCATGAATATTTAAAAATCATTATGTAATGAAGTAATGAAAACAGTTTTGGCTTGATAAAGACCTAATGCTAATGAAAACATTACTACAATCTTACATCATGCAGATAAAGAAGAAATCAGAGCTTTTTCTGCTTTCAGTTGCTATATTAGCGCTAACTGCCAGGGTATCTGATGCAGATCCATGAACTGTGTTTACCAGAAAACTATGGTTAATTGAGGTGGTGCCATAGGCAATTGCTTTATTTCTTGTATAGAGATTGCTGTTTGAGCACATAGGATACCTCCAATTCTCGAATACTAATAATTCAAAACAGTGCCTACTTCAGTGCCTATTTTAGGATACAAATTAAATACTAGAGAAGTTCGTGTTCACCTATCTCAGTGAATAAGGTTGAACAGCTTTCACTTAATCATCAGATCATGTGCAGGCAAAATTGGGTTTTGTATTTTTTTGCCCTGGCGCATGATTGGGTATTTAAAGTCAACATAACAACACCATATCCACTAAATGTATTGGGCATTCACTTTGCTAAAAGTAAACATTCTCTACTCCTTTAGTGAATCAACCACAACCACTATGGGGGTGCCCCAGGTTATTTGCCATCAGAGGCGGCGTTCTGGGTGCGATTTACCCCTCTACGTGGCAAAAAAAGGGCAACACAGGCAATAATCTTACTGTGCTGAAGCTGATAAGGCTCAGTTTTAATGAGCAGAGCTCCAAATCACTGTGCCTGTCACACACAGTAGGGCAGGGAGCTCAGTACTGCTGAATCTGTGGTTTAACCAGACTCTGTATTACTAAGCTGCACTGAGGATGGAGTGATCTCTGGATACTTCCATCTCAGTGCCTCCCTAAGTGCCACCTGAGAAAGCCGCCTCATGAGAGGCATGGCTCTGCCAACGATGCTGTATGATATATGTTCTCTTCATTCCTTTTGGTTAGTTCTTATTAAAATGACCAGCCATGAAACCTTTGTGCAGCAGGACGCATACAGTGACATAACATGATAAGCAATATAATTTTCAATGCAAAATGCTTGTATACTTTCCACTTTTACATTTCTCTCATGGGATACTTCCATGCTTTCAATGTACAATGTTCCAATAAATCTATGTTAATAAATAAAATCATACCTAATTATTTGATTTTATCAGTAGCTTAGAAGCTCTAGTCTAGCCAAATGTAAACTCTGATTCAATTCTTAATACAATCATTGCATTTACATTTATTTAGAAACATAACATCATTCTAACGAATGTCTATTTTGAACTAAAACTTTCAGCAGAAACAACTTACCTGACTCTTATCTGACTCTCCTTACAGATTCAAATGACCATCTCTTTCTTCTTATTTAAGTATGTCTGCTTTAAGTAATAAGCCCACAGACTACCTAAGTGGTTATTTGGGTCCATAGAGGACGGTAAGAAGCTTATGTTTGTTAATCCATTACATAAAATCTGTGCATAATCCTTTTCTCTGATGTGTGCTCGTCTAATTGCGGAAGAAAACAGAGTTGAAAGGGATGACGAATGACCACGCTTACCAGTGCTGCACATGGCTCACCTGTGCATGCGGATGGAAAAAGAGCTGATGGTCACAAGGCCTGTGCTTCATGATGGCCTAACAAGTGGATTTTATTTTACTAAATGTTATGTTTGCTTAAAAGTGATTCTTCTCTAAGAGAGAAGAGGAGTATGGGGGAAGGGAGATTATGGTTAAGCTTTCAACTGTGCGTTCTTAATTTTAAATACTTTGTCCAATCTATTTAAAAAATATAACTGTTATAAACATACTCTAGCCAATACCCACCTGTATTGTTGGCAGGCTGCCCACCCATCTACTAATTTATACTCCAAACTCACTACTATTTCTAGTTATATAAAATTAGATATTACTGTACAGTCCAATCCTGGAACCCAAAGTGTATGTTAAAGGCATTTTTTTTTTGTCTTGGATGAAGTGGGAAATGGTTATACCCTCCTTTTAAGTTTTGATTGATGTCTGTGCCTCTGTAGTAGATTTACTCCTCAATTAGTACAGGTGACCATTATCACAAACAACATTTTAGGACAAGAGGTGAGGGCAAATCTTATTTTAGCGAGACACATGTTTCAGGAGCAGCTATCTAAGAGGGTAATTCCCCATTTTGGGGAGATTTCTTCTAATTCCTCATTGTGTCTCCAGGACAAGAAGTATTGGGAAACCTCTCCGATGGTACACATACAGCAGAAAATAACTTGACATGGCATATTTTCTTCTTCTATTCAAAACTCAAACACAGGTTTAGCTATACATACACTTTAATTAACATCCACATATTTTACTGGATATTTTATAGCCCTCCTTACCATCTTGTCTTGATTTGTATTGTAATTTTAATGTCTTCCATCTTATCTTGATTTGTATTGTAATTGTAATGTCTTCCTTATAATGTAAAGCGCTGCACAAACTGTTGGCGCTATTTAAATCCTGTATAATAATAATAATATAATATGTTGTATATAAAAAAACAAAACTAAAGGTCTTTTTATTATCTTCTCTTTGTTAAATATTATTGAAAATATATTTTATAAAACACATTTTAAATGTCTTAGGTGGCTAGAAATGTATCCTACCTCTTACAGTTCCAAGAGGCTGTAATGAGATTGAGTGCTATACAGGTATTTGACCTAGCTGGGTAAAATACTCACACATTGCTTTCCAAGATCATATTTTTTATTCTCTGCTATAATTGGTCACATGATTCCGTACATCTCTAAGACGAATTAATGATATTAGAACCTTAAAATGGTACTTAACCCTCCTATCCGCTGAGGATGGTGCCATCTTAGCCTCTATTTAGATCTGCACTTGCCATGGTCCTGCACATGTGAACTCTGACCTTTTATTAATAGAGGCATGCCTTGAATGTAGCATACACTATGCTTGCGCTAGCAGGCAGAAAGTGAATTAAAACACTGCAGAAAACAACATTGGTATGTTTGATAGAGTATTTAATAACATTTATTGAACATTTCTAACAAGCTTTTTTGTGGAGGGGTGGGGTGGAGGGGGGCGGGGGAGTGGTAAATCATTGGGTTCAGTTCAGCTTTAATGTCAAGTTTGCAAGCTCACTGAAAGCTGAACTTCATACAGATATTAAAGAGACATTATATAATACAATACTGTACTCAGTTAAAAAAAATCCCATTATATTACATAAAGTTAGGATATGTGTCTGACTCTTATATCAGCCTACTGTAATCGCTTCGGCACTCTGAACCGGTTAATCTAACAGTGTTAACGTGCTTATAGGAGGGAAGAGTATGTCTTATTAGCTCATTGACGTACTGCTATGGTTTTAATGTCCAGTGACAAGCTGGGGTAGGTCTTGGAATGGGCTGTATTGCTTTACTGGAGTGTACACGGATACTGTATTGTAGTGTAGTAGTGCAGACTAGTTCCAACAGAATCTTTTGGCTTTGGCATCTAAAACTGAATATATATTTACATATACATTGTAAATAAATGAAATGGATCAAGTGGTCTATGTGTAGGTAATGACATAGGCAATGCAGTATTTAAAGTGACACTAAACTCAGGAGTTAAATCCTAAAAATGAATTCAAGTACCTTAACTATTAACGAAAATGTATCTTATTTGTGTATCACTCAGCTGTAGATCCTCAAATCATCTCTGAATTGGTGCTGACACTGTCCTTCCTTCTGGAGGGGGGCTACTTTTGTTCTCCATGGTCCCTGTGTGTGTTGTAAAGTAGCCACCGCTCCAAGCTCGCTCCTGTGATGGACTACAATCTCATGTTTAGTTAGCTAATTTATATTGAATGTATAATCCATCACAATAAGGGGGTTTTGAGCAGTGACTACTTTACAACACACACAGAGCCGGGACTGTGGCGACACTGCAGGGAGGAACGCCTGTCAGTATCTGTCCTACTGCTGGGGGAAGCTTGAGAACACTGAACGGGGTGATCGGAGGTTTAGACTCTCTCTGAATGATCGTATATACTCACTGGTTCTGGTGAGTATTAACTACCTGGGGGGACTGCTGATCGGAAGACTTAGATTAAGAAGAATTTTACTCACTATTTTTTATTATTCAAGTTACTTAGCATTTCACTTATCTCACAATTCATTGTCACATCATTATTGGGATTTTGAAAGAAAAACATCACTGTGTTTCATGTTGATTTATTTGGTTACTTTGGGGTTGATTTACTAACCTTATAAACACACCACGAACATGTATACACCTCTGTAGTGTGTTCCCTCCCAGCATGATCTATGGGTGGAATCTAAACACCTTTGTAGTGTGTACACACCCAGCAGGTGTGTTGTGCAAAGCCCTGCATGAATTTGCAAGGTGATGTTGTGTAAATTAGCTCTATGTTGTGTTGCTTGCGTTGATGAATGCAGGAATGTAAATGCATGAGCTAACCATTTTTGTCTAAACTGTGAAGCAGCATTATATATGCATCATGTGCATGATTTTTCCATATATGGCATTAGTGGAAATATGCTTTTAGAGACTTTTTGGTTGATAAATACGCTTTGTGTGTGAAAATCACACGCACCTGGTGCGTGCGTGTGTTTAGGTTAGTAAATCACCCCCTTTGTGTCCAATAATATATGTCACATATTTTTGTATAACAATTTTCTTCACTATTTGAATCTTTGTTACATTTTCCACTGGGATGTTTCATGGTCTCACATCGATTTATGAATATATAATTTTGACTCACTAAAGAAATTTCACATTTTATCCACGATTAGGACATTAGGACAGGATTTATATTTAATGGTTCACAGTTTATTATTCACCTTTATTAGGCATGAAGTTTTTTTTTAATAATCTCATCCATGATTATGATTGGAAAAGAGTAAACACAGTTGATTGATAATAAATGGATTGAGCCAAACACTACCCATGAGTGACAGTTTTCATGTTATAATTCATATTCTCTGAAAAATGGCCAGGAAATCATAAATTCTGCCAGGGTATGTAAACTTATGACCACGACTGTGTGTATATATATGTGTATATGTATATATATATATATAAAAATTTGGCAGGTGCAAGAAAATGCTGAAAAACCTGCTGGCATTTTTCAGCGGCCTTGCAGCCAAAAAGCCATACCGACGACGACATGGAAACAAGGCTAAGAGACTCAACTATGCACTGATGTCAAAGTTTGGAATATTTGGCTGTAGCAGGAGGCAGATTGTTCACCGAAGGGCTGGAGAGCGGTGCAGTAATGAGCGTCTGCAGCAGCAGTGAAGCATGGTGGAGGTTCCTTGCAAGTCTGGGGCTGCATGTCTGCCAATGGAGTTGGAGATTTGGTCAGGATCAATGGTGTCCTCAGTGAGAAATACAAGCAGATACTTATCCATCATGCTATACCATGTGAAATTCAAGTGCAACTTAAGGAGCTGAGGTTTATATTTCTATAAGAGCCCATTCACACTATTGTGCTGCGGTAACGCACATTAATTTATGTTGCCTTGAGGCAGCCCATTCATTTTATGAGCTGCTAAATGCACCAAAAAGGCGCATATTACATTTCTGACAGCACACTGCAATGCACTTTCTTTGCTGCAACATGTCTGTGAACAAGGTGTATTGGGATGCCATTCAAAATGAATGGCACCGCATTGCACCAACAATTTATGTATGTTGAATGCGATAGTGTGAATAGGCCCTAAATGAACACCCTTGGATTGAGGGCGTAAAGGGTGGTCTAGGAACAACCTAAGGGTACATATTTATCCTTATATCAGTGCATTTGCCTTAAACTGACTATAGGCAGGTACACTTAAATGGAAATTGTGAATGAATGTAAGTCTTTTAATCATAGATTTTTTGCTGAACCTGGTAGTGTTGCCGAGTAATGTGGAAAGGGATAACAAAATCTCTTCCCATATGCAGCTTGTGATAAAGCCTTGCTGCCCTTTTTGGCTTAGCTGGATTTAGCTTCACTTAGCGACATCAGTGAACATTGCTACTTTTTGATGACCTGAAACCCTAGTGTGATCTGTCACAAAAGACATGTAAGATCATGTCAAAAACAACAAGAGCTGAATATATTCTAAATATTACCCCTCGGAGACGAAACCTGCTCAAGCGGAGAGACGACAACACTTTGCTATTTCACCAAAGAAAGTATCTTTGAAAATGTAGCACTCTTTTGCTTGCTGCACTATTTAATATAGTTATTATACAGTACATATATCAATAAATATTATTTTAAGTATTTGATATATTGCATATTAAAAATGAATGCCATTTGGTAAAATTGTTTTTTTTAAATTAATAATAGGTAATTTCTCACACTTTATCCCTGTAACACTAGGACGAGACATGTGGGGAAAGGGTCACCAGGATATGAAGGCACATACAGCAATTAAAACCTCATAACCCTTCCCCAATCAATTAAAAATGTACTTTGGTTGCTGTGTCCAAAGTTTAGATTTCTTATCGCTTACTGTCTCTCTGAGCTTCTATCACTGGGACAAAGCTCCCCAACAGGAAAACTGACAGAGGTTCTGACCATTCCACTGAAAAATGCGTTTATTACTAGCTGTGTCCCATTTGGGAACCACTGTTTGTTTGGATAAACCTCTAGGTGTGCATTCATGCTATATGCATGAGGCGAAAACATAGAGGGCCTATACTGTGGTAGCTGTGCAAAAAGGTAAGGAGAGGACAAATGACTAGTCACCAGTATTACCTGTAGGTTACTTGCATCTCAATGTTTCCCATTATTGACTTGTTCTGCATTGTATCTCTGCGTAATGAGGAGCAGCCCACTTGTTGGCTAATGGGGTACTGATTAAAAAGCAGCAGACAAAGCCACAAAGCACAATTCCTCAGAATGAATAAAGCAGCATCAGAAAGATTCTTGCACTGCAGGTTATCAGGTCATCATAGATGTTGCTAGCGCCAGGTAACGGGGGGCATGCGCCCTGGTTATCTTGCAGGGTGTCCCAGCCCCCAACTCCACCTCAGCATGCAGTTTTTTTTGTTTTAGAGTTGTGACACTGTGCGTTATTGTACCACTGACTCCTGCACAATGTGTGTTAAGCACTCCTGATCCTTGCACTCTGTATGTTAAGCACTCCATTTACATTCACTTCATGCATTACATACCTCTGACCACCTGCACTCTGTACATCACACACTAATGACTACTGGGCTCTTGTGTTACGTACTCCTGACCGCTGCATTCTGTGCATTGCAAACTCCTGGCCCCTGAACCCTGTGCTTTAAGCAATCATAACCCCTGCAATCTTTTGGTTACATACTTCTGACCTCTACATTCTTGGGTTATTAAATTTGTACCATGTGTACCCTACTTTACTGTGGAGAGATCTCCTCTCACGTACTGCTGTGTCTTGAAACAGGAAGCTAAGGTAAATCTCACCAATGGCACACAAAAAAAGGAACCTTGTCAGGTGTTTTACCCAGTTCCTACTCTATCCAGTGCAAAAATATTTTTGCTTTAGATACACTTTTAGTTCTAAACTAACTACAAATGCAATAGGACCTAGGAATACAGATGGTTATTAAACAAGGCCATAATAGTCCAAAAATGTGTCATGGAAATAAATATCTGACAATTGCATTCTCAATATAGAAATGCTGCATTCTGTGCTGACTGAGGGCTGTTTGAAGGAATGTTTATGTTGACTGTCAATCAGAAGGGAAAGGATGTACAAAGCTGTGTACTGCTGTCAGAGTGATTTAGTATCAAAGAGCAATAAAAACGAAGATAACTGAGCAGAGGTGCGTTTCTTTAATTGGGACCTGTTCAATGAAATTTTCTTTTTAACATTACAAGAAGGAAAGCACAATTACACCCACCACTAATTACCTTTGAATAAAAATGAAAGTTAACCATGCCATTGATTTTGCTATCCCATCTTACAGCACCTGTGCATAGTAGCTGTTGTAAACCTACTATATGTGAATGCAGCGTTCTCTACTCTAGACTGACCGCCCTCCTGCTGATTCAGATCTACAACGATGCAATCAGAAAGATTCACACATGTCAGACCGCTGTAGAGATACTGCTGGTCTCATACAGAACATTGCAAATCTTTCTCTGCAACATACCGCTTAACATAGGACTCTTCTGCAGGGGTTGAAAGAGGTTTACAAAAATAAACAACTATAGGACACTTAAGGGTAAGGGACCCTGATTCGATTTGCATCATTTGCTGATAAGCAACTACTGGGTTTCCTGCATAATAGTGGAGTTCCGGCATACTGGGAAGGGGGAGGTGTTGATGTATTAATGGAGTAGGCAGTGATAATTTAGATAAGTGAATAGGGTGAACATTCTAATCATCCAATAAGGGGTAAGAAAAAATCCTGTTTTCTTTCAGTTTCCCTTGCACAGGATTAGGTATTCAAAGTGAACACGGCTTTACCATAAGTGAGCTCGGTGAACATATACACTGAGTGGCTAGATTATTATGACCACCCTATCAGTACTTCGTTGGGCCATGAGATGACTTTGTTGGGCCGCCTCGTGACTTCACAAGATGTTGAAAGGTGATGCGAGGAATCTGACACTGCACTGTTACCCTTCTGTTGTCTTGTACCAGTCTTGCCACTCTTCGTTCTGCCCTAACATTGACTAGTCGCTGACGGCCACAATTCGCACGTTACATAGTTACATAGTATTTGGGGTTGAATAAAGACATATGTCCATCAAGTCTAACCCATATAGGTCCACACATCATCCCATTCTTAGGGATACTGGTATCCCTGGATATTACAGTACCTCAAGAAATTTTACAAATGTTTCTTGAACAAATCTACACTCTTGGCTGAAATCACTGCCGATGGCAGTGAGTTCCAGACCTTAACCGCTCTTACTGTAAAGAACCCTCTTCGCCCATTGTGCTGGAATTTTTTCTCCACCAACTTTAGGTGGTGGCCTCTAGTCTTTGTAATGGAGTTAATCTCAAACAGTTTGTTGCCAATGTTGCTGTCACCATTGAACATCTTGTACATGAAAATCATATCCCCCTTAATCTCCTTAATTCCAGCGTAAACATGTTTAAGGTCAGAAGCCTTGTCTCATAGCTCTGGTCCTCCATTCCCCTAATTAGTTTTGTTGCCCTCCGCTGGACTCTCTCCAGTTCAAGGACATCCCTTCTCAGTACCGGCGACCAAAACTGGACAGCGTACTCCAGATGTGGCCGAACCAACGATCTATATAGAGGAACAATTATAGACTTGTCCCTGCAATACATCCCCTTCTTAATACAGGACAAGACCCTGCTAGCTTTGTTTACCGCAGCTTGGCACTGCAAGCTACCATTCAGTTTGTGGTCTACAATGACCCCCAAATCTTTTTCTATTTCTGACTTCCCAAGCGGCATACCCATGATTGTATAGCCTATTTGTTTATTTTTATGTCCAAAGTACATTACTTTGCATTTATCGACATTAAACCTCATCTGCCATAGTATTGCCCACTCCCCTATTTTATCCAGGCCCTCCTGTAACGTTATATTGTCACAATCCGTTTCTAGTACCCTCCCTATTTTTGTATTGTCTGCAAACACAGAAACATGGCTATTTACTCCCTCCCCGATATCATTAATGAATAGGTTGAACAGTATTGGACCCAGCACAGATCCTTGAGGCACACCGCTCATTACACTAGCCCAGTCTGAAAAGGTGCCATTTACAGATACTCTCTGGACCCGTTCCTGTAGCCAGTTCAAACCCAGATTTTTAGCTGACAGTCCAGTCTTTAAACACTTTAACAACAGCTGCTCTTGAACATTTAACGAATTCTGCTGTTTTGCTGTTACTCGCGCCATGGCTCCGCGCCAACAATCATCCCACGTTCAAAGGCTGCTAAATCGCGTTGTTTACCCATATCTTCAGAAAAAATCACTTATACTGTCGTGGTAAACAACCTGCTTCCCTATTTATAATGGTCTGGCCCTCTACCAACTTCAGCGCGAAAGTATAGCTAATAATAGCTAATTTGCCTACAAACGTCAGGTGGTCATAATAATCTGGCCACACAGTGTACTTTTCCAATGTAAACACTCTCTACTCTTTTAGTAAATCCACCCCTATAATTCTCCCTTGAATTACTAAGAAAAAAAAACTTGGCTTCGTATTTTATTAATACATTCCTTCTTTAAAATTGCAGGTAGTAGCAAGTAGCATAGAATAATAATGGCATATAGGGTAATCTAGAAGGCAGCTGGGATAGCACCCGACATTCACATAACCTTTTTCTTCGACTTGTCATAGTAAGTGTACTTAAAAGACAATTAACACAAGATTTCCCACAAGGCCAACCGAGGCCCGGCCTCAGGACAGCAGGGAGTAGAGGGGCAGCAGGGGTGTTGAATTCCTATCTCCTAATGCCTGGGACATGCAGTTCTGGGCACCGGGCGGGTAGTAGACATGTGCGATTCGTTTCGTTATGAATCGAAATTCGTACGGATTTTCCTGAAATTCGTAGATTCGTAAACATACGAATGGCAGTTTCCGAATTTATATCCGAAATTCCGTTAACGAATTTCGGATCCGAATTTCTTTGAAACAGGAACTAATATTACCCCTGTAAATGAGGTTGAACAACATGACAAGATTTTTTTTTTAATCCGAAATACGGATCCGCTGCTGCTGAGGGTTGCATTACAATACACAGGCAGGAAATACGAAATTCCATTGACGTATTTTTGTTCCGTTACAAACATTCATTATATATTGAAGTTAAAAAGCAAAGTACATTTATATTGGAGTTGATGGTATTCTTTTTAAAGTCCGAAATTCGGATACGGAATCCTTTAACGGAATTCGTATTTTGTTTTGGTTGACCAATCAGAGGTTCTCTTCTGCTGCTGAGAGTTGCATTACAAATACAGGCAGGAAATACGAAATTCCGTTGACGTATTTTCGTTCCATTACGAACATTCATTATATTGAAGATAAAAAGCAAAGTACATTTATATTGGAGTTGATGGTAGTTTTTTTTAAAGTCCGAAATACGGAATTCGGAATACAGAATCCGTTAACGGAATTCGTATTTCGGAAAAAAAAAACAACTACCACATCGACTCCAATATTAACAAAGGTATTTTTTCTTTTTAACTTCATCATAACGAATGTTCGTAAAGTTACGAAAATGTGCCGAAACTAACGAAAATACGTATTTCGTACGAATCCGAATTGAGTTTCGGATACGAATTACCAAATACGAAATAATGGATATTACGAAACGGAACAAATTTTTTGACGGCGCACAAGTCTAGAGGGTAGTTGTTTTCTACATTTAGCCCTGCTTTGGGCAAGCAGTGCTAAATGTACAGCAGGGAAGCTGCCGCTGTTTTGTACAAGTGATCTAGGCGATGTCGCCGAGATCACTTGTATGTGGCCTGCATGGTGGGCACATTGAGGAACCTGGCCTTGGGGCAGCAGGGAGAGTAAATCCAGCCCTGAACACAAGGCCCAGACCATAAAGAAGTATGCTTTGAACATGCATTTATTTTGCACTACAGAGTACTTGTCAAATAATCCTCAAATAATCCTCTATGCACAGGCCACAATATAACTATTATATACCTCCCTAAAGAACACAGCTAAGGCTTTTCTCATAAATGCCCTCACAATCACCTCAAATGCTGCCTAGGTCACTGAGGCCAGCAACAGCAACTTCAGCTAAGATAATGCTTTTAAATCTGCACTGATGAATCTTTAGCTGCTTGGGAATTCTCATACAATGGTGATGCTCTAATTGATATCTTTTCAGTGTTCCTATGTGATGCCCCAGTCTTTCTACATTATACTATCACTGCTTGTGGAATAATTATTATTAACTTTCACAACAATGCGCAGAATTGATGGCTTTCAGCTCTTTAACTCTTTCTGTTAACGTTGACATTCGCTATATATGGCATCAATATTTTGTAAACGTTTGTGGACAGTTTCTACTGAAGTGTGTCCTCTGGCATCTAGGGCAAGGATGCCAAAGTGCACCCCGTCCTCTAAGTGGCGAACCTAAAGAAAAATGGGCCCTGTGCCAGATTTTTTCTCAGGCCCCCCCCCTCCTCCTTCCGCTCGGGGGAGAGGGATGGGGGCCTGGGACTGGATCTAACTGGCCCCCATATGGAGGATGGAGCAGGGGCAGATGTGGATGATGGAGCAGGGGCAGATGTGGAGGCTGGACCGGATCAGATGTGGAGGCTGGACCGGATCAGATGTGGAGGATGGACCGGATCAGATGTGGAGGATGGACCGGATCAGATGTGGAGGATGGACCGGGTCAGATGTGGAGGATGGCGCAGGGCAGATGTGGAGGACAGAGCAAGGGGAAAGATGGATAGGACAGAGCAGGGGCAGATGTGGAGGACAGAGCAGGGGCAGATGTGGAGGACGGAGCAAGGCAGATGTGGAGGATGGAGCAGGGCAGATGTGGAGGGCAGAGCAAGGGGGCTGATGTGGAGGACGGAGCAGGGGCAGATGTAGAGGATGGAGCAGGACAGATGTGTATGGAGCAGGGGGCAGATGTGGATGGAGCAGGGGGGAGCCTCCTGGATTTGCTCTTGTCTGTTGATTTTGTGCTTCTCTGCCCGGCTGGATCTGACCTTTTGGCTTCCTCGACTACGACTTCTGGCTCCTGAGTCTGTTCCTACGCTGCCCGCCCGGTTTAACCCTTGGCCTGCTGACCTCTCTACATGAAATCTCCTGCACGGTGTCTGTCTCCAATCCATGGCACTCGTGCTCCTCGTTGCCCTGCGTCCTCCTGTTCCCAAATCCAGGGGTCGCAGGACACTAGTAGCATGAGACGCCTCCCTGTCTTCCGGTCTCATCCTCAGGTACGTGATACAGGGCTCCTAATGCTGTCTGCGCACACCAGCTTTAAGGTGCCCTGTCACTTCAAAACTGACTGAGGTAACGTGTTAGGCATATTAGGCGGCCGCGAGGCCCTTGTGAACGCAAGGCCTTAGGCGACCGCCTAATTTGCCTAATTAGAGAGCCGCCTCTACTCAGAATAACAAGTCTTAACTACCCTCCACTCACGCACACACACATTTTGAAGAGCATCAAAGAGGCTTCCCCCTTTTTCCTCTTGGGAGGACCAGGGAAGGGGGTGCACACATCTCTGTCCTTCTTTTCCCCTCCCCTTCCTTTACCTACCCTCCTTAGGTTTTTTTCTCCATTTCCTGACTACTTTCCCTACATTTCCATACCACTTTACTGTTTCCCATTTAAGCTTTGTTGGTTCACCCTTTTCTTATAGTACTTAAACCCCATTGAAAATCTGTGGAATAACTTGAACTCTGCAGTCCACAAATGGTCACCATCAAAATGTAACTGAACTTGAGCAGTTCTACAAAGAAGAGTGAGCAAATATTGCAAAGTCTAGATGTGCAAAGTTAGTAGAGACATATCCCAAAAGATTAAAGGCTGTAAAGCAACAACATTTGATTATTTTAAAGATTCTTTTCTATACCCACTGTATATGATCAGCCATAAAATCATGACTACTCGCCTAATATTTAGTATGTCCTCCTTTTGCCGCATCAAGGCATGGACTCCACTAGACCTCTGAAGGTATGCTATGGTATTTGGCACCAAGTCATCAGTAGCAGATCCTTTAAGTCCTGTAAGTTGCGAGGAGGAGCCTCCATGGATCAGAATTGTTTTTCCAGCACATGCCACAGATACTCGATTGGATTGAGATCTGGAGAATCTTAAGTCAATACCTCAAATTTGTTCTTGTGTTCCACGAATCATTCTTGAACCATTTTTACAGTGTACAAGGTACATTATCCTGCTGAAAACAGTTTCTATGAAGGGATGTAACAATGTTTAGGTAGGTGGCACGTGTCAAAGAAGCATCCACATTAATGGCAGAACCCAAGATTTCCCAGCACATAGTGCATCCTGGTGCCATCTCTTCCCCAAGTAAGCGACACACACGAGCCTGGCCATCCACATGATGTAATGAAAAACCTGATTCACCAGACCAGGCCACCTTCTTCCATTGCTCTATTGTACAGTTCTAATGCCTATGTGCCCATTGTAGACACTTTTGGCGGTTGACACCGGTCAGTATCAGCACCCTGATTGGTCTGCAGCTTAACCAGTATTACCTTTTTTCAACAATTTAAACTACTGTAGCTTTTCTATTGAAACGAACTACATGGGCTACTTTATACAAAAGCTCAAAGAAAAAAGTGTTGGCTGTAGCTACAGGTGAAACTCGAATAATTAGAATATCGTGCAAAGTTCATTTATTTCACTAATGCAACTTAAAAGGTGAAACTAATATATGAGATAGACTCATTACATGCAAAGCAAGATAATTCAAGCCGTGATTTGTCATAATTGTGATGAATATGGCTTACAGCTCATTAAAACCCCAAGAACCCCAAATCCACAACCTCAAAAAAGTAGATTATTACATGCAATCAATAAAACAAGGATTGTACATAGAACAATATCGGACCTCTGAAAAGTACAAGCATGCATATGTACTCAGTACTTGGTTTGGGCCCCTTTTGCAGCACTTACTGAAATTACTTTTGCACGATATTCTAATTATTCGAGTTTCACCTGTATACTTTAAAAACATTTAACATTTGCAAACCACATAGCTTGCTCACATTTAAAAAAGAAAAAAAAACGAAATCTTTATGAAAGCTCTTGTGTACAAGATGAAACCACAAGTAGCATTAAAATGTAGGGCTGCGGAAATTAACGATTAATTCCTCGATTAATCGTTAATTTTTTGGATCGATTAAAATTATTTTGATCGGTACTCACCTCTCGGCCGGCTTCCGGGAGTTCCGTCGGAGATCCGGTGACGTCATGGACATCGACGTCACCGGGCTCCTCCCACCTTCCCCAAGTGGCTCTGTCGGCTAACGAAGGGAAGGGGGGAGGAGTCCTGTGACGTTGATGTCCGTGACGTCACTGGACTCCTCCCCCTTCCCCGTGTTAGGTTTTGAACGTATAGTAATCTATGACAGGTATGGGAACTAAGGCTGTTTATCTCAACCTCATTGCTTTATAGAAAAAAGCCAACATAGTGTCAGATCTACCGGGTAATATAATTGCAACAGTTATGTTTTGTTCAATAACTTTGTACTTATGATGCACTTTTCATTGCACTGGTGAGATATTGTGATCTAGGTGCTTGTAATTCTGTGGCAAGGCAAAACGGAATGGAAATTAGTCTTTAGTGTATGCAACAGCACTGTTCCTATTGAAAGTTGGTTTGCATTCAAAAATATATTTTCCTGCAACTGCACTTCTTATTTATAAATGGCTTCTTTAGCACATTTACCCATCACCTAGAAAATTCTCTGCACAAAAGTTATTAAAATGTCTTTCAAGCAGAAAGGTTAATTAAGTCCTTCATTATGAGGGTTGGGACGGTGTTCTATCGATAGTCCCAACTTATCGAGTTCTGGGACCGCCTGACTTCCGGTTTCCTTAGAACTACGAGGTTTGCCCAAGAAAGTTCTGCACAAGCACCAGCCGCGGCATTGCCCTATTCACATAGACCACAGCAATAAAGTAATAAAATGAACTAGGATCACAGTAATCCAGCACGTTATTTATCTCAGATGCCCCACTCAATATGGCTGTCGCTTGAGTGGGGCAACTCAGATGAATAACGTGCTGGATTACTGTGATCCTAGTTAATTTTATTACTTCACTGCTGTGGTATATGTGTATAGAGCAATGCCGCGGATGGCGCTCGTGCAGAAGAACTTTTTTGTGCAAACCTCTTAGTTGTAACAAAAGCGGAAGTCAGGCGGTCCCAGAACTCAATAAGTTTGAACTTTCGATCGATCACCGGTGATCTGTCTACACTTATCGAGTTCTGCGACCGCCTGACTTCCGGTTTCGTTACAACTAAGAGGTTTGCCCAAGAAACTTGTTCTGCACGAGCGTCAGCCAAGGCATTGGCCTATACACATACAGCACAGCAATGATGTAATAAAATGAACTGGGATCACACTTATCCAGCACGTTATTATTCTGAGTTGCCCCACTCAAGCGGCGGCCATATTGAGTGGGGCTCGTGAGATTAATAACGTGCTGGATTAGTGTGATCCTAGTTCATTGCTTCATTGCTGTGCTGTATGTGTACAGGCCAATGTAGTTGGATCTGTATGTGCGTTATAATTAATCGAAATTAATCGATTAAAAAAAATTTCGATTAATTGAACACGAAAATTTTAATCAGTAACAGCCCTATTAAAATGTATATTTATTTCTGACCACTCATTATATGGACATTGACATTGACAATGATAGTTGTTAAGATTTTGTTCTACCAACTTTTATACCTATACCTTTTACTGTATAAGTTCTAACTATGTTTTGGAATGCTTTTTACAAGTCATTACAATATACAGGCTAATATGTAAAATGCATGTGAGTAAACGCAAATAATACATTGGTCACATGCCAGCTTCAGATAATACCATCCTGAGTGCCTGTTTAATTAAATCCTAAGAAGCTTGTTTTAAGATGCATAGCACAGACACATCTAATGAATCCATCTGTATGGATAGTAAACAACAAACAATTGACTACATGAATGTGTAAGACAATAAAGCTCAATTATACACATTTAACGTGTAAACCATAAAAATACATATCTATAGCATGTTATAGGAAATGACAGGGGATAACTGAAAGATTTAGGGTGAGTCACCTGATCTGGTTTGATTGAGCAGCTCTGTCCTCCTAGGGACTCACCTTCAGCATTATTAAGAATACGCTTTGCTGATCACAGAGAGATTATTACACAGTTGACTCATTCTGATGATAACCGCCGAGCTCCAGGCTGGACTTCATAAAGTAAATCAATATTTCTTATATTGTTAGCAGGACAATTTCCCCAATCTGATTACTGATTTGACTTAAACTGAAAACGTTCAACATGAGTCTGAAAAAGGAGGACGTATTGGCCTTTCTAGAAAACAACCCCAAATTCACCGAAAAATATTTTCAAAAGAAACTCAAACCAGAGACGATATCGACTGCCTTCGGCCGCAAAGAACTCGTTGTGGATTTTGCGACTTTTCGAGAGCTTGTTCAGGTGGAAGAAAGTGAAATTCTGTTTGAACTTATTAAGGACATGCAAGAAAGCATAAACATGGAGAAGGTTGTTTTCAAGACTCTAAGGAGAATCAGCACTCTAATTCATGCAGATCGCTGTAGTCTTTTTATGTACAGGCAAAGAAACGGAACTCCGGAGTTAGCTACAAGACTTTTTAATGTCAACGAGAATAGTAAACTAGAGGAGTGCCTTGTACCACCTGATAGTGAAATTGTGTTTCCTTTGGATATTGGAATTGTAGGACATGTTGCACATACAAAGAAGACCATTAACATTAAGGATGTGGCTGAGGTATGTTGACCTCTAGTCTGTAAGTTGTATTTGTGAAAGTGTTTGTGCATTTACACACACACATACGCCCACCCACACATACAGATGTGTCAATACACATTTATATTTGAACATTTAGCTTACATATAAATACCTAATCAGCTAATCTTCATTTGAACATGTGCCACATTTAATTTAATTTCAAATTATTCTAAATATAAACATTTAGTTCACTTCTAAATTTCATAAAGGGCAGTAAGACAGATATGCAGACGCACTTTGGCTGTTACATGTAGGCTCTAGGCTCAATTTACTATAAAGCATTTGCCATTTTGATCATTATATTTTAGTCAATTGAGCCCTATGTTTTCTATATAGAAAGAGCAAGAATATAATACCGCAAAAAGCATGACTTCGTTGTATATAGATTCCAATAGAAAGACAGTAGTTGGGCTATGTATTTTAAAATGTATCAAGTCCAATAAGGTCTGTACTATACAGTTTTTCGTATTTCATTTGCTGCACATGCACTAACATGCATGCTGCCAATTTGTAAATAAGGGAACAGGGCTTGGTTGCAGTAATGGTTGTGAAACGGACAAACCTAGTACATTGCTGATTATAGTATAATGAATTTTGTAGACTCCTTAAAACTTTGAGTAAAAACTAGCTCCCACGAATTCACGAGTGTCTTGGAGTGAGTTAAACAGTGACTAGGCAACTTACATGTACTGTAGGTTTTATAAGAAAGGTGGAGAAGGTGCATTCAGGCCTTGTTCACAAGCGTCTATATCCAACACCTTTGTTAGCCTTGCCTAGCCTAGCCCTGACTTGTGACAGTTCAATTACCAACACTAACATTTACAACCAACACATTAACATTTATTCTAAATCTTCATCAACCTACTCAAAATCCAAAAAATTATTTAGCTAGAATGCCACTTCGTGTTCGATTAATCAAAGTTTTTTTAAATCGATTAATTTCGATTTCATTATAACGCACATACAGATCCAGCTAAATTGGCCTATAAACATACAGCACAGCAATGAAGTAATAAAATGAACTAGGATCACACTAATCCAGCACGTTATTAATCTCACTTGCCCCACTCAATATGGCCGCCGCTTGAGTGGGGCAACTCAGAATAATAACGTGCTGGATTAGTGTGATCCTAGTTCATTTTATTACTTCATTGCTGTGCTGTATGTGCATAGGACAATGCAGAACAAGTTTCTTGGGCAAACCTCTTAGTTGTCACGAAACCGGAAGTCAGGCGGTCGCAGAACTCGATAGGTGTCGACAGATCAACGGTAATCGATCGAAAGTTCGAACTTATCGAGTTCTGGGAACGCCTGACTTCCGCTTTCGTTACAACTATGAGGTTTGCACAAAAAAGTTCTTCTGCACGAGCGTCATCCGCGGCATTGCTCTATACACATATACCACAGCAATTAAGTAATAAAATGAACTAGGATCACAGTAAACCAACACGTTATTCATCTGAGTTGCCCCACTCAAGCGGCGGCCATATTGAGTGGGGCTCGTGAGATAAATAACGTGCTGGATTACTGTGATCCTAGTTCATTTTATTACTTTATTGCTGTGGTCTATGTGAATAGGGCAATGCCGCGGCTGGCGCTCGTGCAGAAGACCTTTCTTGGGCAAACCTCGTAGTTCTAAGGAAACCGGAAGTCAGTCGGTCCCAGAACTCGATAAGTTGGGACTATCGATAGAACACCAGCCCAAACCACATAAAGAAGGACTTAATTAACCTTTCTGCATGAAAGACATTTTAATAACTTTTGTGCAGAGAATTTTCTAGGTGATGGGTAAATGTGCTAAAGAAGCCATTTATAAATAGGAAGTGCAGTTGCAGGAAAATATATTTTTGAATACAAACCAACTTTCAATAGGAACAATGCTGTTGTATACACTAAAGACTAATTTCCATTCCGTTTTGCCTTGCCACATAATTATAAGCACCTAGATCACAATATCTCACCAGTGCGATAAAAAGTGCATCATAAGTACAAAGTTATTGAACAAAACACAACTGTTGCAATTATATTACCCGGTAGATCTGACACTGTTGGCTTTTTTCTATAAAGCAATGAGGTTGAGATAAACAGCCTTAGTTCCCATACCTGTCATAGATTACTATACGTTCAAAACCTAACGAGGGAAGGGGAGGAGTCCGGTGACGCCACAGACATCTACGTCACTGGACTCCTCCCCCCTTCCCTTCGGAGCCACTTGGGGAAGGGTGAGGAGCCCGGTGACGTCGATGTCCGTGACGTCACCGGATCTCCGACGCAACTCCCGGAAGACCCGGAAGGCGGCGGAGAGATGAGTACCGATCAAAAGAATTTGAATTGATCAAAAAAATTAACGATTAATCAAGGAATTAAAGTTATTTATTAATTTAAGCCTAAAACCTACATAAGGCAAAGCAACAGACTCATTTTACTTCTACCCTCCTCAGCAGCACATACTCTTCTTTTTCGTTCCCCCATTGCTCTGTTCAGACACTGGGAAAAAAGGAAACCCAGTTTAAGCTATGAGTTGCTGGAATCATAGCTTGCGTAGGGGTAAGGACTCCTGGATAATTTTAAGGGTCTGGTATAGATTTTTAGGGGGACTCCATATTGTCTTTTCTCCCAAAGGCACAGTACACATTGTTTCCAAAAAGCCCTCCCCCTCCCCCTTGCAAGGCACCTCATCCCCATGTTGATGGGGAGGAAGGCCTCATCCCCACATCCCTGGCCCAGTGGATGAGGAGGTCTGTGGTGGGGAATTTATTGGTCCCCTTTAGAATTAGGGGGCCCTCAAATATACACCCTCCCCCCTTACATGAATAAGTAAGGGGTACATAGTATATCTTGTTACTTATTTACAAAGAAAATAAATAAATAAAAAACAATATCACTGATGTAAATTCTAAGTCAATCAGATCCTCCAGTGAAGTAAATCCAGTGTCAATCATGATGAGTGCTGCATGGCGACCCACCGATGGTGCCCTTGCATACTAAATGGCAGTTCCACGGCTGCTGCACTAATGTAAACAGAGCAGCCGAGAATCCTGGGTGACATCATTGACATTATATGGTCATGACTATATTTGGTCAAAGATGTGACCTGGGATCCCCTGGCTGCTTTGTTTAAAAACAGAACAAGGCCAATGAGAACTGTTATTCAGCAGTGCAAGACTTTTTGTTATGTCTGTTATGCAGGAGTACATCATACTGGTGTGCATCTTCAAATGCAGGTTGAAGGCATTCCCCGAACGTATTATTTAAAGGATTCTTGTATTGTTAATGTTGCCCTTTTTTTTATTTGTCTCATTAGTGCATGTTCACCATGGCAGTGTCCAGATCTCAATGGCCTTTAAAAAAAAAAGTTTGAAATTTGGCCTTGAAAAGGGTCAGAAAAAAGACTCTGTAACCATATACTTGGATGAGGTTTGCAACTATGTTTGGGCTTGATATATTTTTTCAAGTGTTTGTTGAATGTCCAACAAACTGAACTTTGCTCGATTCACTCCTCACTAATGGGGAGCAGACCATGTAAAATTTTAGATGCCTAGACTTCATATAAGTGATGAGCGAATGTGCTTGGGTTCCATTTGTGGGCCATTTGCCAAATTCATTGTAAATTCAGGAAACTGCAAACTTAAATCTGAACCCCAATGGAGTGCGGATCTTGAAAATCAGTTCTGTCCATTTTCAAGGCAAATAGATAAGGGATTGTCAAACAAAGGGCATTGGAAGATTGGTACTGTCATGGGGGGGCATACACCAATCCAAACTATTTTAGGTAATACTGTTCAGCGAAAGAGTCCTCTGTTTTATGCAGCTTTCAGTGACATGGGAAAAACACCAATCCTTTAGGATACCTTCAAGCTCTATGCAGTGTAACGGAACAATAAAATTCTCATGGACAGCGACAGCAACATCATATATGACATCACATAATTTGCATGTGTAATTTGTTTTCTTTATTTCTACATTATTCCTTGGCTTAGATAAAGCATCCACACCATAATCTGACTCAACCAGAAGTCCTTTTAGGTCGTTTTTGCGGTGACGCCTGGTTTGTAGCTACCAGTAATAAGCCAGAATTGAGTAGTGTAAGTAGCAGACACAACAGATCTAAAAGCTATTGATAGGTTTAACCTTCCAAAACCATAAAACTAAAGTCATCAACTTCATACCATTTTCCAAACAGTGGCAAAGAGAGTATGTGGCTGGAGAGTATGTAAGCAGTTTGATTGGGCTGCAGTGTAAGCGTGATAAATAAATTAAATAGAATTAAAAAATAAAGTGGATTATGTCAGAGACAGCAGCCATAAATATTATACACATTCACTGCACATTATGCAAGCATTTTTACTTGGCCACAATGTAAGAGGGAGAGAGGAGAGATGGGTTTAATTATATCAACAGCCAGAAATATTTCACAGACTTGCTGCACATCATGTAAGCGGATTACTAGGCCACAATGTAAGAGGGAGAGATGAGGCAGGTTTTATTGTGAAATACAATTTACAGTAGAGTGTACCATTTCTAAGACAAAAACTATTTGTACAGACTCTATAGTAAGCATTGAAGCAGTTGCAGTAGGCCACATGGCATGCAGCTTTCTATTTTAAAAATACACATTTAAGTGTTTATATGTGACAGAAAAAGGGAAGAAATAGAGAAGAAATGTACAGATTACATAAAAAGCATCTGCAACAGTTGGAATGGGCTACATTTTCAAAACTGACACTACCCATGCAGCTGTTCAAGCCAAATATACACAATAAATAGTATTTTACTAATACTTGTAGAGCTCTGTGTCTAAACCACATACCTCATTTAGTTTTGGAAGATCAAAAAAAAAGTAAAGTTTAAATTTTAAATTGAAAGAGAAATAATATGCTACAGCCAGCATGTACTGTATATAATTTTTACAGTTTCTTGTGGTTCTCATCGCTAAGCCACATCCCCATTTCTTTTAAAGGACAAAAAAATATACAGTTGATATTTTGTAGATTAAAAGATTAAAAAAGAAATGATATGCTCAACACCACATGCATATTTTTTCTACAATTTCTTGAAGACCGCATTGTGTAAACCACATGTCTCATTTACCCAGTGCATTGTAAAAGAGATGTAGCATCCCTGCCAATGATTGCTGGATGACCTCGCTGTGGTCATGTGGACCCTTCTGCTGGCCAAGTGTTCCAGCAACACATCCAGGGCAGGGATTGCCTTCTGGACAGAAAATGGTATCTGGGTATCTACTCCAACTCTAACACTTACTGACAAACAGTTGATGGGAAACTTGACTTTTATAGGGAGGTTGACACATTAGAAAACCCCCATAGTAACAAGCCTAAAACCCGCATAAGGCAAAGCAATAGACTCATTTTACTTTTAGCCTCCTCAGCAGCACATACTCTTCTTTTTCGTTCCCCCATTGCTCTGTTCAGACACTGGGAAAAAAGGAAACCTATGGTACCCAGGGGCGTATCTGCCGCGAGGCAAACAAGGCGTTTGCCTGGAGCGGCAGATTCGCAGAGAGCGGCACCCCGAGTGACCCCATGGATGGGATGACGCGGACGTCGGCCTGGAGAGTGGACGGCGTGTGCAGACGGCGGGCGGTGATGATTTACGGTGAGTCCGCAAGCCCGGGGGGGTGGGCGGGTGCTCTCAGTGAAGCGCAGGGTC